AAAGAGACATGTGCACTAGAATGTTTATAGCAGCACAATTCACAATTGCAAAGATGTGGAATCAACCCAAGTGCCCATAATTCATGAATGGATTAATAAAATGTGGTATATGTACACAATGGATTACTACTCAGCCATAAAAGACACATTAATACCTTTTGCCAAAACCTGGATGGAACTGCAGACCATTCTCCTAAGTGAAGTACTGTAATAATGGAAAAACAAACACCAAGTGTATTCACTATTAAATTGGAACTAACCCATGAGCATACAAGTGCACAGAGGGAAGTAAACCCTGGGGAAAACTCAGTGGAAAGCAACTGTGGGGTGAAGCAGACAACAAACCAACCTAATGGGTACTATGAACACTATCTGGGTGATGGGCATACCTATAACCAGGACTTAAGCATTACAAAAATGATCCATGTAACCTAAACATTTGTACCCCCTTAATATTTTGAAATTAAAAAAAAAAAAAAAAAGGATACAACCAAAGAGCCTCTCACCTGGACCAAATAAATGGAAATCATGAGATACTGGAATTTGAGTCTGAAAGCATAATTGGGTGAAGCTTTTGGAGGTCTTGGAAAAGGGTCAGTGTATTTTGCATGTATGAAGGGTACAAGTAATTATGGCTAGTGGGCAAATGTAGGACATTAAAATGGCTATAAATTCCTTGCCTCTCTTACCATCCAGAGGTCAAGTCTATTGTCCCATCGCTTGGATTGACATAGCCTCATTCACAAGTCTGGCAGTTATGTACTGGCTTTTGGCTATGTGCCTCAGTTTTCCTCTGTGTGGCCTCTCATTCTTCAGAGGCGAGGCCAGCTTACTTGCCTGACAATACCAAGGTGGCATTCAATGTGGAAGAAAGTGGAAGCCGCAAATCTTTCCAAGGCCTAGGCTCCAGAATATTCACAAAATTACTTTTGCCACATTTCATTGCATCAAAACAAGTCACAAGAACAGTCCAAATTCAAGAGGTGGGTATAAAACTGATGCTTCTTAATAGGAGGCTCTGCAAAGAATTTGTGGCCATACTTAATCTTTTACTATGGGTGAGAGCTTTTCAAACTCTGAGAACTGTTTTATTTTATTATTTCATTATTTTATTTTATTATTTTTGAGACAGAGTCTCACTCTGTCACCTGGGATAGAGTGCCATGGCATTCAGCCTAGCTCACAGCAACCTGAAACTCCTGGGCTCAAGCGATCCTCCTGCCTGCCTCAGCCTTCCAAGTAGATGGGACTACAGGCATGTGACACCATGCCCAACTAATTTTTTCTATTTTTAGTAGAGATGGGGTCTCACTCTTGCTCAGGCTGATCTCAAACTCCTGAACTCAAGTGATCCTCCTGCCTCAGCCTCAAGGAGTGCTAGGATTATAGGCATGAGCCACCGCACCTGGCCGAGAATATCCTAAATTAAGGGTAGAAATGTTTAAAAGAATGAAAATAATTTTTCCATTAAGAAATATGTTCTTCAAAAAGAAAATGTGAAAGAAAAGCAGAAGGAATTTATAGGTTAAAGAGATTTAAAGAACATATCAATTAATTGCAATGTGTGGACTTTCTTGGAGTACAATTAAAAAATATAGACTATATCATCCCAGGGATGCAGGGATGGTTCAACATACGTAAATCTATAAATGCAATTCACCACATCAACAGAAGCAAATACAAAGACCACATGATTCTTTCAATAGATGCAGAAAAAGCTTTTGACAAAATTCAACACCCTTTCATGATACGAACACTTAAGAAAATAAGCAAGAAGGGACATACCTAAAATAACAAGCAATAATGACAGACCTAGCCCAACATCATCTGAAGGAAATATTGAAAACATCCCACTTAGAACTGAACCAGACAAGCTGCCACTAGCCCACTTCTATCAACATATGCAATCTCTACAGAATCAACAGAAAATGAACAAAGTATCAAATAGTGAAAAGAGACAAACTTTCACTTTGCGATGAAGAAGTTCAGAAAACCCCAAGTTTCACCAATAAAACCGAACGGCAAGAATGTAGTAACATCCACGATATCAAAATTAAACACAGAAATCAAGCATCTTACCCAACACAACAAGGAGAACCAAAATAAAGATCAATCCCCACAAGCAACAAGAAATTAAATACCGAATATATTTACAAGAGGATAGTCTTAGGAAATATGAAAACACAGGAAGGAAATACAAGGAAAACGATGGAAATCCATACAGCCGGACGCAGACAATATCATCAAAATTCTATACTGACCCAAACGGATCACGATTCAGCAACCTATTAAAATCCATCACATCTTCACAAAAGAAAAAATAATTTACGCTTCTATGGAACCCAAAAGACCCGAATATCAAAGCAATCAGCAACAAAACAATGAGGCATAATATCCAGATATCAAACTAACTACAAACTTAATATAAAACAATAATTGCACAAAACAGGAATATTGGCAGAACAGATGAGAATCCTGATATAGAAACCATCCTCATATAGCCATCCCAGCTTTGACAAAACGACAAAACATACGCTGGGGAAAAGAAACCTCTCAATAATGGTGGGAAAACGATAGCCACCTTAGAATGCAAAAAACCCACACCTTCACTCCACAAAACCAACCCACGCTATAACAGACTAAACTACAATTCATGAAACTATAGAACCAGAGAAAATTGAAACCTCTCCTAGACATCGCCTGGCAAATTATGAAGAAAGTCCAAGCAATCACCAGCACAAAAAAAATGACAGGACAAACACAAGCTCTGCACAGCAAAGAAATAGCAGAAAGTAAGACAGACAACTACAAAGAAGAAAATTTGCATCCTAGCATCCGATAAGGGACGAATACTATCAGAATATCTAAACTCACGAAATAGAAAAAAACAAGAACCCCATTAAATGGAACAGGACTTGAAAAATTTTCTAAAAAACAGATCGCCAACAACATATGAAGAAATCTCAACAGTCATATCATCAGTGAAATGCAAATCAAAACACAAAATCACTTTTTAACCCAGTGAGAACCTTATCAAAAACCAAACAATAAAGTCTGCGTTGCGGAGAAGAAGAACACTCCACACGCTGGTGGACTGCAAACATTTCAACTCTGTGAAACAATATGGAATATCCTTAAAGCGATACAAATCTAATCACCATTGATCCACAACTCATTGCGCATCTACCCAAATGACCAGCGACACTCTACCCACAAGACACCCTGCACCGAATGTTATACACACATCAAATTGCAAGCTGGAACACCCAATGCCCTCAATCACAGATGATAAAGGGTATAGTACACCATGAAGTACTATCAGCCAAGAAAACAATGGAAAGCACAGCTGTTTAAATATTTCTGGTGACGAACCATACTACTGTAATCCGAAAAAACAAGCACCGATAATTCTCTCAGCCAAACGGTATTAACGGAAGCACCAAGACACAAGTCTACATAAATGGGGTATGCCAGGTGAGGGGGGCGGGCGTATAACATCATAGTCGATAAAGTGCACCATTGATGTCATGAGGAGGACCCAGATTTGGGGGGGGAGGGGAAATGGCATCTATGAAACCTAAAACTACCCAAATATGCCAAAATAAAAAAAAATAATTAAAAAAATTAAAAAAAAATATAGACTATAAAAATAAACATTTTTGAGACATATTTATGAGACAATTGAAAATTTTATTATCGACTTAATATTTTATTATTGATTATTCCTTTTTAGGTATAATAGTATTTTACTGTATTTTTTTAAAGACTTTAAAATTTAGAGATACATACTGAAACATTTACAGACTAAATGATATGATATCTAGGATTTGTTTCAAAATAGTATGGAAAGTGGGGGGCTGAATGAGGTTTGGGATAGGGCAGGACTGGTCATGTGTGGATGATTTTTAAGGCTGGGTGATAGGTATATGGGGGTTCATTACACAATTCTGCCTATTTTTGTATATGTTAGCAATTCTCCATCATGATACTAAGTTTTTAAAAGAAACTAAAAAAGAAGAACTCTGGACCTAATGAGTATTTTATACACTTGTCATATTGAATAAAATTTGTTCTACTAGAATATAGCCCCAATTTAAAATGTGCAATTTGATAACTTGATTTAAATGTGATTTTACCAAGTAGTTTTCTTATGATTACAATAGAATATTTAAATACTGATATTATAACATTTTAAGAGAATTTTTGGTTTAACCATATTTATTTTAACTTATTACATTTCCTTTTTTTGTATTTTTTTAATTTAAAGAGATTGAGGGGATACAAGCAATTTTTGGTTACATGGCTGAATTGCACAGTGGAGAAGTCTAGGCTTTTAATACGCCCATCACCTGAACAGGGTACATCGTACTCGATAGGTAAATTTTTATCCTGCACCTCCCACCAACCTTCCCCCAATGTCCAACGTCCATGAAGTCTCCCTGTATGACTGTGTATGCCCATTGCTTAGCCCCCACTTGTAAGTGTGAACATGCTTCCCACATTTGGGGAATCACACAGGTGAGCATATCTGGAGTGCAATGGATAAGCCTTGTCCTGGGGAAACCACCTTTGTGATCATGGTGTCGTCTCTGCCAGCTAAATATTAATTTATTACATTTCTAAGAGTTAAATAAGCATGTGAGAGAATTTTCTGTAAAAGGAACTCAAATGTGTTAAATTTATAAAAGCAATTTCAAATATTTGAAGATGTTTAATTATCTAAGTATGTAAATGGCACCAGACATTATTCTAAGGACTTTCAAAAGTGACTGCTAAAACTTGCTAACCTTAGAATAAGTTTAGGTTTGTAACTTGAACTTAAAGCCTAAGGAAGAAGCTTTTTACATTTTTTAACTTTAATAAATCACACAGTAATTTTAACAACCAACAGACTATCAAAAGGCAAAAAAAAAATTTCTAGTCACCTGAAAACTGTATGTAAGGATTAAAAGCATTGCAAGAAAAGAAATTAAAAAGTGGCTGATGTGAATAGTACCAACCATTTGTATTACAGCTACATGCAATCTGGCTTCTTCAATTAAAACTTCATCTGTTGGGGACTCCTCTTTTTTATTACTTGAAGTGCAGGAAAACTGAAAAGTATCAGACTAAGTTATAAAACATAAAGGGATAAAGTTGTAAAATAAGTTAAAATAATTAGGAACTGGCAAATTCTATACTCAAAAAGATTTCAAGAACTCCTATTATAATTGCTGAAATTGCTAAAATAACTCCTATAAATTGCCATGTATAACTTGGATAATGTTTTTCCATATAAGAAGTGTTGCTTTCAATCGTGGTGAAGTAAATATTCATTCGGGGAGATTCAGAAGCCAAATTCTCCAAACCCATCTATGTTTGAGTGCTTTCTAAATCAGCCTGTGTTGTCTGCTTTTTATAACACTTCTACAGAGAGAGATCTCTCATTACCTTCACCTTTCGGAAACATCATCTTGGCAGAGGCGAATGATTGATGTTCAACCAGCCAGTTTGTAAAATCATCCATTGTCCTGGTACTTGGCAAATAAGGTTGAATTACCAAGACCTTCTCTTTAGAGACAGAACTCAAAGAAGTCCTTTCACCAAAATAGCAAAGCTAGTATTATCTCCACTCAATTTTCTGACAGCTGAATCAGATTTTTTACAATAGAATAAAGCAAGAGGGTCAGACAAAGGAAAGGAAAGGAAGACTATTTTTTGCCAGGTATCAACTCACGGGAATGATTTGTTCAATGTTTGTTTTTTCTTCTACGAAGGTCCAATTAACATTTGTCAACAATTTTTCTGTTTTATATAAAGTTATTGTGTTTTGTATTATCTCCTGTATATGCTGACTGACACTTTCCATGGCCATTTGTCTTGGGAGAGAAATAGCACACAAACCTGTAACAAAGAAAAAAGAACGGCTCTTAATAGTGAAGACTGCAAAGGAAAGCAAAAATTGTTGCATGATTATGCAGTGAAATCTTGAGATCACTTGCATAGAAAAACCAGAGTGGTTAAAATATGGACAATTTTTGTCCAAAATTTTCTAGAAAATTACCCAATGGCTTGTTTCCTTTGGGCTACATAGCTCAACTTCATCAAACTCAACTACTAAAGAATGTTTATTAGTTTTCTTTTCTTCCCTATAGCTAAAGACATGACTTATTACTTCAAGGCACCCAATCAGTATTTCTCAAAGTGTAGAAAAATATTTGTCTTCTACAGGTAGAAGGGCTGCTTATTAAACTCTGAAAATTCTTGGGCTCCACCTTATGCCTACAGAATCAGATTGGCCTGGGAATTTGCATTATAACAAGTTTTATAACTGCTTCTTATATACTGTATATCAAAATTTAAGGGCTACTACAAGATAGATTCCTCAAATTTGACAACTGTTTCCTGACCAGAAAATCTGTATGTTCAAAATTTGTAACCCTTTGTATTTTTTGAGGTATGAATTTGAAGATAATAGCTATGAGACTCACCAGCCAAAGAGAAGAATTTAACTAGCAAATGAGCTTAGCCTACTCATTTCCAATTCCATCGATAAGGGAAACCCCCATCTGCATCAGGCACCCAGACCCCCACCACTCACGGAAGACCCACATCAGCATAATACTAACCAATTTCCTGGCCCACTAACTAGTCTACTGCCTGGCATCAGCATAACACTAAATCTATGCATAACACTATGGTGATGCCTGGCGTATCAACATAATATTAACCTATGTCGTGACACATCAACTAACTGACACCTGGTACCCCACCCCTCGGACCACCCCAACTTAATAAAAGTGTGAAAAATTGGGTAGACAGTGCTCAGAATTTGGTGGCAAGGCTGCTCTGAGCCCACCAGCAAATATACTTTGATTCTGGACTCTTGCTTTGTCCTCGGGACCACCCGCTGCAACACTCGCTGTGACACCATCTCAGTAAAAGCAGTTCTCTCTTTGCAATTGCATACAAAATATCTCTTAAAGAATAAAATGGCTTCTGAGTGTTTCAGTTTAACTTTATCTCATTCTCCATGGGATACTGTGTGCAATTGAAGTATTTGAAATTCGGCGGATTCGGAAAGGTCTGGAAGCATATCCCTCTCAAGTATCAGGGTCAGTTCTCTATGACCCAGAGCAAAGACGCTGAAGAGTCAGCCGTTGTTAGCTTGTTAGCTTCAGATTTAAAATTCTTATGGCTAAGACTGCAAAAGAAGAAAATGTATTCAGTTGCCCAAGTAGATCCTACCCATATGATGAGGCAGCAGCCACTCTCTAGTTGCTCCCGGGAAACGTGAGTGTATGTGGGCCACTTGGTGGCACTGGTATGTCTGAATGCACTCCCCCGTGTTTAAGATGATCCTGGAGGGATATGAGGAGGGGTCTCTTAGCAACAACAGATGGAGCAAGTTGGTTTGAAACTCTTACTGATAAAATTCAATTCTGTCAAGCTCCTGTTAAATGTGTGCCACGCATAGTACGTCTAGACAGGATGAGCACTGATTCTGAAAGGATGAAGTACTTGCTGTGGAATCTTCATTCCATAATGAATAGAAAAAAAGAAATAGAGGAAGAAAATTCTGAAGTTTAGTTAGTACAACCAAAATGTTATAGGGTGTGAAAAGAAAAGAGAAAAATCACTACCATGATAGTAAAACTCCTTGTTGATCTCACTTTTCAGTATCCGAGTAGGAGGAACTACAAGAAAGCAAGCATGGGAGAAACCCAGACATTGTATCTTTTTTTTTTTTTATTTCAGCATATTATGGGGGTACAAATTTTAAGGTTTCAAATAATGCCCTTGCCCCCCTACTCCCACAAGTCTGAGCTTCAAATATGACCATCCCCCAGAAGGTGCACATCTCACTCATTATGTATGTATATACCCGCTCCCCTCCTCCCTCCCACCCACCCAATACCCAATTAATGTAGTTCCTATGTGTCCACTTAGGTGCTGCTCAGTTAATACCAGTTTGCTGATGAGTATATGTAGTGCTTGTTTTTCCATTCTTGGGATACGTCACTTAGTAGAATGGGTTCCAGCTCCATCCAGGAAAATACAAGAGGTGCTATATCACCATTGTTTCTTAGAGCTGAATAGTACTCCATGGTGTACATACATATACCACATTTTATTAATCCACTCATGAATTGATGGGCACTTAGGTTGTTTCCACAGCTTTGCAATTATGAATTGTGCTGCCATAAACATTCAAGTGCAGGTGTCTTTTTTGTAGAGTGTCATTTGATCTTTTGGGTAGATGCCCAGTAATGGGCTTGCTGGATCAAATAGTAGATCCACTTGTATCACTTTAACGTATCTCCATATTGCTTTCCATAGAGATTGAACTAGTTTGCAGTCCCACCAGCACTGTAGGAGTGTTCCTATCTCTCCACATCAATGCCAACATTTATTGTTTTGGGACATTTTGATAAAGGCCATTCTTACTAGAAATAAGTGATATCTCATTGTAGTTTTGATTTGCATTTCCCTGATGATTAGAGATGTTGAGCATTTTTTCATATGCTTGTTGGCCATTATGCTGTCTTCTTTAGAAAAGTTTCTGTTCATGTCCTTTGCCCACTTTTTGATAGGGTTGTTTGATTTTTTCTTGCTGATTTTCGTGAGTTCTAAGTAGATTCTAGTTATCAGTCCCTTATCAGATGTGTAGGATGCGAAAATTTTCTCCCATTCTATAGGTTGTCTGTTTACTTTCATGACTATTTCTTTGGCTGTGCAGAAGCTTTTTAGTTTGATCATGTCCCATTCTTAAGCAAAGAGAGCAGAATGGGTCTAGATCCCTGGGAGTGAAGGAATTTGATGGGAAGGAAGGTGTGAGCAAGCCTTTGGGGATCAGATTAACTGCACTCATGCTCCAGTGTGGGCTTTTGCTGATTGTAGCACACCTTTTCACTGCAAACAAGAGCAAACCCATAATTTGGGAAAAAGAAAAGCTATCAAAAATCTTCCCCATTTACTAGCCCCATTCATACATTAGAGCCCTTGGCTTTGGGGTGGACTGTCACAGGAAGTTCGGCAATAGTATTTATGGGACACAGCTGCAGGAATGAGCAGGACTGTCTGAAAAGACACAAGCAAAGCAATGATGTCTCTATGGGCAGGGCAGGGTAAATTAATGAGGCTATTTCCCTACTTAGAACTCTCCTTCAACACTATCCTTCCATTGCTTTCATTAGTTCTTGCTGTACAAGAAAGCTTCTGATTACTAATTTGGTTTATCAAGGAAATTTATATTCAGAGATGAATACTCTGATAATATCACAAGTATTCCCAACACAGAAAAAAATCCTTACTACAAATTAGTAAATTCATTTTATGGTTTATCCATGAACACAGTGAATGTGTTACAGGTATACCTTGATTTATTGTGCTCACTTTATTTTTATTTATTTATTTGTTTATTTATCTTAGTTTCAGAGTATTATAGGGCTACAAATGCTTTAGTTACATATATTGCCTTTGCACTGCCTGAGTCAGAGCTACAAGAGTGACCACCTCAAGACAACACACACCGCATCCCTTAGGTGTGGATCTTCCCATCCCCTTCCTCCTGCTCCCACCTGCTCAATACCCTATGAATGTCACTTCCCATATGTGCACATTAGTTTTGATCAATTAGTACCAATTTAATGGTGAATACATGTGGTGCTTGCTTTTCCATTCTTTTAAAAAATATTTTATTTCAGCATATTATGGGAGTACAAATGTTTAGGTTATATATACTACCTTTGCCCCACTCAAGTCAGAGCTTCAAGCATGTCCACCCCCCGAGACGTTGCACAGCGCATCCATTAGTTGTGAATGTACCCATCCACCTGCCCCCTCCCACCTGCCCGACACCTGATGAATGTTACTACTATATGTGCACTTAAGTGTTGGTCAGTTAATACCAATTTGTTGGTAAGTACATATGGTGCTTGTTTTTCCACTCTTGTGCTTCACTTTATTGTGCTTTGCAGATATTGTGTTTTTTACAAATTGAAGATTTGTGGCCAGTCATCAGTGATTTTCTATGTTACTATTGCAATTGCTTTGGGGTGCCACAAACTGTGTCTGTATGAGACAGCAAACTTAATCAACAAATACGTGTGTTCTGACTGCTCCGCCAACTGGCCTTTCCCATCCCTCCCACCCTCCGTACCCCTCCACCTCTTCTCTCCCTCTGCTTAGGGCTCCCTATTCCCTGAGATAAAACAATATTGAAATTAGGCTATTTAATAAGCCTACAATGGCCTCTAATGTTCAAGTGAAAGGAAGAGTTGCATGTTTCTTACTTTAAATCAAAAGCTAGAAATGATTAAACTTAGTGATGAAGGCATATCAAAAGCTAAGATAGGCTGTAAGCTAGTCATCTTGTGCCAAACAGCCAAGTAGTGAATGCAAAGGAATAGTTCTTGAAGACATTAAAACTGCTATTCCAGTGAACACACAAATGTTAAGAAAGCTAAACAGCCTTCAGTGGTCTGGATAGAAGATCAAACCAACTACAATATTCCCTTAAGCTAAAGCCTAATCCAGAGCAAGACTCTAACTCTGTTTAATTCTCTGAAGACTGAGGGAGGAAGCTGCAGAAGAAAAACTGGAAGCTAGCAGAGGTTGGTTTATGAAGTTAAAGAAAAGAAGCCATCTCCATGACATAAAAGTACAAGATAGGTAAAGCAGTAAGTGCTGATGTAGAAGCTACAGCAAGTTATCCAGAAGATCTAGATAAGACAATTGATGAAGGTAGCTAAACAACAGATTTTCCATGCAGACAAAACAGCCCTCTATTGGAAGAAGATGCCATCTAGGACTTTCATATCTGTAGAGGAGAAGTCCAGGCCTGTCTTCAAAACTTCAAAGGACAGGCTGACTCTCTTGTTAGGGGATAATGTAGCTGGTAACTTTAAGTTGAAGCCAATGCTCATTTGCCATTCCAAAAACCCAAGGGCCCTTAAGAATTATGTTAAATCTACTCTGCCTGTGCTCTATAAAGGGAACAACAAAGACTGGGTGACAGCACATCTGTTTACAGCATGGTGTACTGAATATTTTAAGCCCACTGTTGAGACCTGCTACTCAGAAAAAAAGATTCCTTTCAAAGTACTGCTGTTTGCTGACAATGCACCTAGTCACCCAAGATGGAGACGTGCAAGGAGATGAAGGTTGTTCTCATGCCTGCTAATACAACAGCCATTCTGCAGCCCCTTGAACAAGAAGTTATTTCAACTTTCAAGTCTTATTATTTAAGAAATAAGTTTTATAAGGCCATAGCTGTTATAGATAGTGATCCCTCTGATGGATCTGGGCAAAGTCAATGGAAAACCTTCTGGAAAGGATTCACTATTCTAGATGCCATTAAGAACATTCGTGATTGATGGGAGAAGGTCAAAATATCAACATTAACAGGAGTTTGAAAGAAGTTGATTCCAACCCTCATTCATGACTTTGAGGGGTTCAAGATTTCTGTAGCAGAAGTCACTGCAGATGTGGCAGAAATAGCAAGAGAACTGGAATTAGAAGTGGGGGCTGAAGATGTGACTGAACTGCTGCAATCTTATAAAACTTGAATGGATGAGCTGCTTCTTATGAATGAGAAAAGAAAGTGTTTTCTTGAGATGGAATATACTCCTAGTGAAGCTATGTAGATTGTTGAAATGACAGCAAAGGATTTAAAACATCTCATAAACTTAGTTGATAAAACAGCAGCAGTATTTGAGAGGACTGACTCCAATTTTGAAAGAAATTCCACTGTGAGTAAAATGGAATCAGCAGCATCACATGCTACAGAAAAATCTTTCATGAAAGGAAGAGTCAATTGATGCCACAAACTTCACTGTTGTGTTATTTTAAGAAATTGCCAAAGCCACTCCAACCTTCAGCAACCACCACCCTGATCAGTCAGCGGCCACCAACATAGAGGCAACACCCTCCACCAGCAGAAAGATTAGGACTTGCTGAAGGGTCGGATGATCATTAACAATAAAGTATTTTTAATTAAGGTATATACATTTTTTAGACATAATGCTATCACATTACAATGGACTACAGTATAGTGAAAACATAACTTTTATGTGCACTAGGAACCCAAATAGTTTGTATGACTATTTTTTCTTTACTGCAATACTCGCTTTAATGAGACACTCACTTTACTGCCATACTTGCTTTACTGTGGTGATCTAGAACCAAACCTCCAATATCTCCAAAGTATGCCTACATATGTAAATCTCCAGTAGTCTGATCAGCTTTAGATACCTGACAAGCTCAGGTCTCTGCACCAGCAAAGTTGAGGACCAAGTCACGGCATATCAGACTACACTGAACACTACCATAAAATTTTGCCTCATCCTACCCCTCCCCTGTCTCCCCCCCTTGACCCTACTGCCACTGATTACCTTATCTTTGATTTCTCTGCTGAATGTGTCTATTTGTGATTTTATCATATTTATGCATTTTTATTATAACAGCCTCAAATTCATTTTAGAAATAGGCAATTGTGGCAAAGCCTACTGATTATTTCCCTATATCCATTCTCTCCATCTTCCTATTACCAACAGAATATCCAAGTTTTGGCTAAGCACATGGCCAGCCAGGAAAAGATAATTTCTAGTTTCCTTTGCCCCTGTGCCCCATGACTAAGTTCTGGCCAATGGAATGTGAGTGATGAAGACATAGATAATTTCTGGAGTGTGCCCCTAAAAGAAAGCTGCTTACCCTCTCCCTCTCCACTTTCCTCTCCCTCGCCACACACCCCTCTCCCCTTTCCTTTCCCTCTCCCTCTCCACACACCCCTCTCCCCTCCACTTTCCCTTTCTAGTTAATTGGATTGTAGACATGGTGGTAGTGAGCAGGCCTCTACCATGCAGACAAGAGCAACACCTTAGGGGATGGAGGAGCAACAAAAGAAAATGAATCTGGATCTCAAGACAACCTCATGGAATCATCTCACTCTTCTGGACTTCTTGGTGGAAGGGAAAGAAAATACCTCTGTCTTATTTAAGCCTCTGTTCATTTGGTTTCTGTTAAACTGGCAGAACCAATATCCCAATTCCTTGAGCTCCATAAGAAATGTCCCCGCGACTCCCAACAATAACCTATTTGCATTATTCTCCCCAGTTAATCTGTACATAATTCACATACTTTACCTAATGTCTTGGCTGACCGAATCATCATGTATGAATTTATTCCCATAGTCAGTAATGATATTGCTTGCACATAGAATATAAACTAAAAACAAAACACATTAAATAGTTAGAACCAAAACATTAAATCTCCAAAAGTAATCATTGTTCAATTAACCACCACCAAAACTCTCTTAATCCACATTTTTGAATCCTGCCCCTGATAAGTAAGTTAAGGCCAAAGGGCTATTTTGTGGACACTGCTTGAACATAATATCCTGGGGTGGAAATTAATTTTCAATCTGAACGAGGGAAAAAATACATGGTGTAGACCCTGGGTTAAGGACACTGAGGGAAGAGCTCTCTACAGTTTCCACTCTGGGCAGCAGTCGTGCAAGGACAGCAAGGCGGCCATCACAGACATGATGGTGGCACCTACAGGGTGGGGAGAAAGCCTAGCAACAGCAGGCAGGGGTGACTGTGGGCAGGGAGGGAGGTGTGCCTGCCACCGGCATTTACTTTGGCTGTACAAGAAGCTCTGAAGGAGCAGGCAGGAGCTGTGCTGGGTCTGGGGAGGCGCCATGCAGCAGAAGAAAGACAACCACTTTTATAGGCTGTGGCTGTGCTGTTTTGTAGCCATGTGATTTGGGGCCCGTTAACCACTCTGAGCCTCATGTTCTTCACTGAAAAATGGAGTTAGTAGCAATATCTTCTCCAGAGAGTGTTTCCCAAACTTGACTGCTAACAACAATCACCTGAAGTGTTTGTTAAACATGCTGACTCCCAAGCCCCTTCTCTGCAGGTTGTGATTCTAGAGGTCACAGGGTGGAGCCAAGGGGATTCTTAACATGAGACAGAATTAAGACATACTGTAAAATGATAACTAAATGTTAGTCAACTTCTTACTGACTTGGTTTTAGGCCAATTCCTTGTATAAAAGAGAACGGAAGAAGCTCAAATGCTGGTTATTATAATTTTCCTTTGGGACAGGGTAGGACCCAAAGTCTTTGCAAAACCACAGGTTTACCAGAACTCCAAATTAATGGCCAGACATGCCCACAGATATAAATCCTCAGGAAATATGTGGTGAGGAATATGATACTCCATCAAAAAAAGCACTTCCTCTTTGGGGAGTTAGGGCACCTGAGTTCTTTTCCTATTGTGTTACATAAAGAAGGCTACTCTCTTATTTTGATTTCTCCACTTGCAAGATGGAGAGGCTGACAGTTGCTCCCAAAAAGAAAGTATTTGAAAAATACTGTACTCCTTGGGCCTTCTGGGACATGAGCAAAATAGTAAAGAACAGAAAGTCTACTGGAAATCAGATAGTATTAGGAAACCCTGTACATCTACTTCCAGATTCCTTGGTAGGGGGACAGGTGGTCTCAAGTTCCTATTATTCAAGTGGTTTTCTCCCTCCTAGAAGGAGGTTTGGGGTCTATCTGACTGGGAGGGGGTGGCAGGCTGATCCTGGGGATTTCTAGCAAGTTCTCTAACTAGTTCACACAGTACTGTCACAAACGACAAGGTACCCTAACACACAAGGTGGGCAGTGGGTGCACTGGGCTCTCTGGGTTTTGCCCAGAGTGTCAGGACCACGGATGCAGCCACTACCAAACTGCCCAGAAATCTACCGGTTAACCCACAGGAAAAAGGCTTTGAGAAAGAGTAGAAAGGAAACACAAGTTTTGTGTTTCACTATAGATAATGGAGTCTTCAGCAAGAATTTTCTAAGAAATTAATTTTTTTAAATTAGCCCTAAAGACATAAATATAACTAGATCCTTACTTCAAATATTTATAAAATCTTTCTTCTCTTAGTATATTTAACTAGTGTTTCAGGTTTTTTTCTAATAGCGATAGGATTGGAATGTTCCCAATAAGGATGTCATTTTTTTTCATGCTTTCTGACAGCTATGGAAAAATAGCATTTGTGTCAGGTATTTTACTATGCATCATCTCAATCCACAACTGGAAATTGAGACTCAGCAAGGCTCAGGATTGGCACCCAATTCCATCTAACACCCAAGTCCGTAACCACTACATGACTATTGGTCCCTTTCATGCTGTCAACATAAATTTTCTACTTAAAAAAATGCGTTTTAAAATCTAATTCAAAACTGGCTAACTTTATTATTAAATACTTTGACAAGTGCTACAAAATAAGTAAAAATGAATAAGAAGAAAAAATAATTTTTCCTACCATTTGTGGTGCATCTACTTTTTCTTCAGCCAAATTATAAATATCAGGAGCCAGGAGTAAACTAACAACTCCTCTAATTCCAGAACATGTGATAACAACTCCACATCGCCAATTATATTCGTAACTCGAATGGCTCAAAATAGGGCTCACTAAGAAAATAGTAAGCAATCTGTGGAGAGAAAAATGTTAAAAATAAACAAATCACACCTTATATATGAATGTTATTCACAGCTGAAACTATGTACTAAATACTAAATTTCATAGAAAATTTTTCAGAAAAGATAAAACAATGCAGTTTATTGATAATTCATTCAAACTTCATGAGACTAATCAAATCTGCTATCTAAATTTTGCATCTAATACTCCAGTCTGGAAAAATAATGGTAGAAATTCTAAACAAATATAAGGAAGTATCATTAACACCAGTGTGTACTGCTTAGATTTGGGTAATAAACTTTTCTGCAGGGAAACCTCTTCAAAGAATGTTGACATCTACAGCCATCTTTATGACTAAAAAAAAAAAAAAAAAAAAAAAAAAAAGAATGTTGACAAAATCTTTTATTCCCCAAAAAGCCATAAAATGGCTGAATTCAGAAATTAAAATGAGGGGATATGTAGATCATAACCAAAAGGTAAAATTATTGTAGACACATTAATAAACTTAACCCAACAAATTTTTCTTGAGCTCCCATAAAAATCATACACTGTCACATGAATAATTTCCATTTGTGTCACCTTATTCTCCAGATAATTTCTCTATAGGACCTTGTGCCCAAATTTAAAATCTATCTTTAGGAGATCTGCACTGAAAGAATATCAGTACTGTCATTCAAATGATTTAGAACAAATGAAACTTCAGCAAAAGTAAAATCAGACATGTTTTTAGCCTCAAAAAGTATATTGCATATCAGTTGCTCAGCTAGGAATTATGCAAGTCAGTTTTTCCTATCATTGAGAAACAGAAAATCTATAATCACTATCTATAATATATATAATTAATTTGGGCAAACTCCTCTGCCTTGCATTCAAGCTTTTTGCAAAGTGACTTTTAACCCTTTGCACTCGGATGTCGAGTGGATAATGAGAAAAAAGCAAGCGAATGCAAAGTTAACCAACCTTTTTAGCCTTACTAAATAATCTTTCCCTAAAACATCAGAGTCCAGCAAAAATAGGACAACTTATGTCATTTCCTGATATCAAAAACAGGGAAACAGTGTAGAAAAGCCTCTGAAGTCAGTCCACCTGTGTCAAATTTAGGCTTGCCATTTACCAGCTACATAAACCTAGGCAAGTTATTTAACCTGTCTCAGCTTCTTCATCTGTAAAATGAAGATGATGATAATAATACTTGTACTTGCCTCAAAGGATTATTGTGACAATTAAATTAAATGAGGCAACACTCATAGGATTTAGAATCATGCTTTGTATGTGGTCAGCACTCAATACATGATCAATACATAATCATAATTACATATGGTATAATTGTGTGCCCATACATAATACTCAATTCGCGATGATTATTATGTCCATGCCTTCCCATTTCCTTGTCATGTCTCATCCTCTCTGAAGTGTTTTTCTCAGTAAGTCTCTATGGAAAGCCCACCCATACATTTAGGGCCCACTTAAAGATGATTCTGTCCATCAAGGCCTTTCCTCCGGTGAGATGGAGCCATTAGTTCAGTAAGATCTCTGGCACTCATTAGCCATTTGATCTTGGAGAAGGTACTTAGCTTTTCTTGGCCAATTTCTTCATCTATAAAACTGAAGTAATAATTCTCATCTCCTAGTGTTGTTATGAAGATGAAATGAGACAATAGATGTATAGCTGAGTCAAGCAATGTGCAAAAAACCATGTATCTTTCTTTATACTCTATGACCAATCTCAGTTTGCACACAAGTTTCCATGGCAGAAAGAAATGTAAATTTTCAAATTACACAACTTAGTCTCTTCTAGTTTAAAAGATTCTTTGGATTTGCCTGGGTCTTGCCTGTGCAAATAGTCGATTCAAAGTTCCCTATAAAAAGCAGTTTCTCCTATTTCCCAAGATGTTTCCCCCTGCCCTGCATTTCCAAGACAGGGTGTGGGTATAGGAGAAAATTAACACAGCTCATGGCATCAGGGAGAAGACTGCAGAAAACTGTCTTTTGATTTAGGTGTCTTGAGCTACTTGTGTTTGACCTTTGGCCTCTGTTCGAGATACAGTGACTGGGAAGTATCCTTGGCCTGTTTTTCTCAGCTAGGCCAATGCATAGTATTATAATTTCTCAGATTATCTAACTATCACCCTCTTGTCAACTAGGCCTCCCACCCACAAGCACTGCAGATCCCTGAGGTCTGCTGCCTTTCCCATTTGGCCCTAGGTTTAGATGGTCTCCCATGCAACCCTCAAACTCAGGGTCACTTTGGTGGCCCCCTCTAGCAAACTCACCAAGTATCTCTTAATTCCACACAGAAGAGAAAAGTACTTCTGGGCCTCTCCCATATCATGAAGAGATTAAGTATGAATTAAAGGCCCTAATCTCAGGTTTACTCTCTACTACCAAACCAACCATTTCTACTCAGTAGCATTAGCCCTACACTGGCCCCTGTCACCCTATGAGGCTGCATTTTCTCAGAGTTCCAAACAGGAGGTGGGATGGGGATGGGGTTGAGGTGAAATGGTATCCCCACCCGAGTCTCAACTCCCTCTAATCTCTCCCTTCCCAGCAATGGTTCTATTTCCTTTCTTGTTTTCATATCCCCCATCATCTATACTATGGCATAAAATAAAAACATAATCTTAAACTACCAAGCTTGTCTCTTGATATTTAAAAAAAGGTACTTTCAGAATTTAGCAAAGTATTCTCGTCTTCAGCAAAGCCTCGCTTTCAGGACTGTTATCTCATTGTGGGGTTTCAAAAATATTTGGAAGTCAAAAGCTGAATACAGACTCTTTCTTTATTTTGGCATTCCATTATAAAACCTTAATACTCCTTCTTTTGGCTATACAGAGGGAAGGTCTTATATGAAGAAGTAAAAAAAAAAAAACCACCAATATATTACAGAAAGCCTACTCCCTTTTACAGAGGATATTGTGGTATTCCACCTAGGCACCCTCTTCAGGGCTGACGTATCCATCCCCCACCTGGTAGAATTTAAGGAGTTAGTGGCCCCCGTGGCTCTGTCCCTCACTGCCCACTGCCCCAGCACTCAGAAACCTTCCCCACTCAAAGTTGTTTCTCTCTCAAGAGATGGCCCTTGGCCAACGGCTGCATGAGGCAGGGATACAAGGGCCTGGCCCCTTGTCTTGATGTGGGACAACTCCAAAAGCCCTCCCAACTCACAGCTTCCCGCAGCTCAGTGGAGCCTCCAGTGAAACTGTGCTGGGAGTCAGCTTGGCCCTCTGCCCCATGCTGCCTCTTCACTCACCCAATACCTTCTGCCGCCTTCTCCCAACTCTCTCTCTCATAAACTGTTTCCAGGAAACCCAACCTATGACTCCTTTGAATATGTAAATCTGGCACCGAGTGGGGTTTCCACAGAATCCCACAACTAGCTCTGAAGCTCCATAACACATTTTTTAAGCCTCCCTTATGAAGCTTATCTTTCCTTATGTTCCAGTTATTTATATACTTATCCTTCCAACTATAACCATATATATATTAGTTATATATATATGGTTATATATATATTAATTTCTTTCTATTTATAGTAGAGACGGGGTCTAGCTCTTGCTCAGGCTGGTTTCGAACTCCTGACCTCAAGCAATCCACACGTACCAACGCTTCTTGAGGAGAGATACTTTCTGTGGCCCTTGAGACTTCAAACAGTAAGACCTATTGTGTTTATAAAGTGACTCCTTTTAGGCAAAGAGACATGAGGTTGCTGTTTGCCTGGAATGGAGGTGGGAGTGAGAGATCCCACCAGAGACCCCTGGAAAAAAGCACCACATTCTTTGGCTTCTCAGTTGAAAGGCCACTTATGTTTTTAAGGCAAGTTTGCATAGCTGTACAGGCAAGAGACCTGGAAGTAGAACTGGCTAAACTAGTATCCTCTGCCTCCAGACTAAAAAGTTGCTAGGAAACAGTGTCTCTATGCCACCCTCAGTTTGGGGCACTGGGGAGGAGGAAGAGAAAGAGAAGATATGGGAGAACACTCCCTAACTGTAAGCAGAGGTGACTGGCATGCTGTTTTCCCACTAAAGTGAAAGCCTGAATAATTCCTATAGATCTAAAGTCAGAGGCTCAAAGGAGAGAGGTTCAGGGTCGGAGAACCTTGCCAGAGAAATGTGGGGTCCTACTGATGACTGCAGTATGAATGGGAAGTCAGGAGTATCACCAACCCGAGGGAGTTGGATACGACAGAGTCCTGACTAGAGCCCCTGTCCAGAGAGCAGCCTTCAAGGACATCAACTACTGGTGCCAGAACAGCACTGGCCAGATAAAAGAAGATCACTAGTCCCTTCCCATTGCCACCATGACTGGCCAATTGTACGTGAACAACATCAACCACTTCCACCCGTTCCCATAAGGACTTAAGAACTGACCAACCACATAAGGAATCCACCCCGCCACCAACATTTTTAGTGTCAACCCAAAGGTTGAAAAGAACAGTATCAGAGGCGGCGTCATATATGTATATAACACACTAAACTGTAACTAACTGGCTGGAGAAGTCACTGCATTGAAATGAATTTACCTAATTGTATGTAAACTAAATCCACCAAGGTCCACTTCACAGTCACATAGTAAAGCCAGTTCTAAAACTAGAAACTTATTTTTTGAATACTAAGATCTGGGCACTATTATAATAGGTATTAAGTCATATGCCCCATATATATAGGACTTAAAGAAGTCCCAATAACTCTATAGGGAAAAAAATTCATTGAGGTCATACATGTCACTGTCCCAATCAGAAACTGGCCCACGTGCCCAATGGCTACTGAAGAAAATTTGGAGCTCCCTGTAAGTGTTGACTTCAACATCAAAGAGGCCAAATTAAACTTTGACAAGGTGGAAATTGATTATACTTTCTTTCCTAAGTTTGTAACTTATCAAAGCCAAATCCTGAAGTCTGAATAATTTTAAGATACCTTTGAATGAGTTTCATATTTTTTATTTTTCTGACTATCAAAAATGCAAATAACCTCACAAATTCATAGCTTTCAGTCTACTTTGAAAGGCTGTCAATTCTAAATACACTTTAAAGTCTTGCCACATAATAAAGTTTATTAACAGATTAGTAACAATTTTCTATTAGTCTTAAAAATACACACATCGAGGGTAAGTGATTTTATAAAAGGTAAGTACAAGATTCTCCACAATTCACACCCCTCAGTAGTTGGGCATTTTGGTGGTTTCTAACTTTTCATCACTATGACTGTAACTACAATGAAGACCTTTTGAATAAATCATTGTCTACATTTTCTAAAAAATTTTTAACAGCTTTATTAATATATAAAAATCTGCACATATGTACTTAATGTATATAACGTGATGAGTACATTGTTTACATTTTTAATAATCACATGCTTAGAATGGACTATGAACATTTATAAGATTCTTGATAAAATTTATTTAGTCGTTCAACAAATATGTATAAAAATTCTATTCCAGAATACTTAAGGATAGTGTAGAGACCAGGACAGCTGATTCCTGCCCTCAAGGATTACAGTATGCTGGGGAGACAACCATTAAATCGTCAACTGTGCAAGTAAGCATTCTGTCATACTTGCCTGAAGTGCTACCAAGGAGAATCACACAGTTGCAAAGAGCGTGGCAGGGCGGAGCCCAGCCTGGTGGTGGCGGGCGGCAGGGGCAGGAGGCAGTGAGGCTCTCCCTGAGGGAGTATCGCTTATTCTGACATCTGCAGGATGAAAAGGCATCCAGGCCAAGGGTGAAGGGCAGCAGGAGGACAGCTTGGAAGGGCCCTGAAGGGACAAGTGTCTGAGGGACTTGGAAGAAGTTCTGTGTGTCTAGACTGAAGACAGAAACGGGCAGAGAGGCATTTGAGGTGGCTGGTGAGGGGGGCAGGGGCACTGTCCAACAGTGTCTAGCATCCTGAGAAAATATGGATAGCCATAATAATAGTAAAAAATTAACTTTACTGAGCATTTACTATGTGCCAAGCATGGTGCGAAACTCTTGTACTTGCATTACCTCATTTAATCCTCATAGCAACCCTCTGAGATAGTTCTATTATTATGCCCATTCTACAGATAAGTAAATTGAAACTTAGACTAAATATTTGCCCAAAGTCACACAGACACAAAGCTCACAGGCGTGGGAGATGGGATTTGGACCCAGAAATATACTTGGGAGGAATGACTAATTAAATTTAAAAATGATTTTTTAAGATGTCCAGACAGAGAGCCAGAGAAAAGATAAGATGGTCACTGATTTGACAGCTGCATAGGTACAGCAGGCCAGCACTGATGTCAGGCCAGCACTGATGTCAGGCCAGCACTGATGTCAGGCCAGCCCCGATGGGGTAGGGGATGGGGGGGCACACAGGACTGTGTACATGTTCTTCTGGGTGAGATTAACTATCCGAGTTGCATGCAGTGCCTCTGAGTCAGCAGATGCAGGTTTCCATGAGCACATCTTATAAGGCAAGTTCCCTTGGCCGCTACCCTGAGCTTTCAGAGACACTGTCATGAATTCTTAGGAAAGACACAACTATCACTAGTGGGCGATGGCATTTTGGAAGACGCATGCTCATGAAATCAGGTTTCAATCCCAACTCTACCCTTACAAGTTGGCTGACTCTAGGCAAGTTTTTAAGCTCTCTGTGAAATGATGTGGTAACACTTACCTTGCAGGGTTGTGTTCACACCAATGGCATATAGTCCCTGGTGAGTATTTAATAAATGGCTTTATCATAGCTATTGATGATAGTTAATGATAATGAAAGTCAAGAAAAATGTTAAGAGCCATGAATCTGGTCTAGTGGTGCTCAAACTTTAACCACCAAGAGAGCAGGTTAAAACTGTTTCCTGGATCTTGTCTTTAGAGATTCAATTCAGTAGGTTGGGATGGGCCCATGAATTTGCATTTCTGTCAAGCTTATGAGTGATGCCAATGCTGCTGGTCCATCCTTTCTCATTTTATGGATAAAATATTGAAAAATAAACACTTACCCCAAGTTGCACAGCAAGTTTATTGTCAAGGCCTTGACAACAATGCAAGTTTCCTGACTGCACGTCTGGAGCACTTTTTGCTATACCCGACTGATTCCCAATTCTAATTCTGGGCTTGACAACCTAAGTTCAGTAAAACAAACTTTAAAATATAATTCTTACCTAGCCAAAGTCACTGTTATAAATAAGATGAACGTGAAAGCTATGGTGTAAAATGTATAATACTTGGTTTCTCCACATCCAATCACAATGCCAAAGAAAGTATATATTAAATGTTGGTATACAGATGAAAACATTATTAAGAACCTAGGATGAATGAAAAGGAAATGACATTTTTAAGCAATGTATTTTAAAACTATTTTCCTTTTCACATAAAATCATATATCTTATATTACCATTCTTGTCTTAGCAGAGGCTCCTGCCTTTGTCTCTGTTATAGTAACATTTAAAAGTATTTTGTTGGGTCTGAAAACACCCAGTTCCACATTCTCCATTACTCTCATCATACCAATACCCATGGGCTGCTTCTCACAGCAGAATAATAAGAGCAAGGCAGAAAAATGAGGAACTCCCCAAGTTGATAATTTATCCATTTCTCTGTGATTAGCTGGCAGCGTATCAACTGTTAGATCTGCCACAGCTAAACCCAGAGCCATGGTTGCTGCAAAGAGGTACCTGGTTAACCTTGACTTTGCCATAACTGACAGGATCATCTCAATGTCTTCTGCACAACTTCTCCTTCTGTGACTTGCATGTCCTCTTAGTCCTTACTTTGAAAGCCTCTCCTGTCTGCTTTCCCATCATCTACTGAACTCCTAAAAGTCTCATAAGACTAACTCTAAATCCTATGTTGTCCATGAAACCACCTTAAGCACTCTTCTGAATCCCTACAGTGCCAAATGTCTGCACTACCATGGTTTTTACACAGAAGAAAAAATTAAAATCATCCAGATTGCATCCCAAATATCTACACGCCCAGCCCCACCCCAAGAGATTCTTACTGAGTGACCAGAGCCCAGTGGTGAGGGCACTGGCTGAGGCCTCAGCAGAGCACGTGTTCTGCTCTGTGTCTGGTTCCATGTCAGGGCCAGGTCTGAGATCTACAGGCAGATCTCAAGGCCTCCTGTCTCTCGATTGTCCCTCTTGAGACTTTCCCCTTCAGCCTACTAGGTGAGTGTGTCTGCCCATAAACCAGTGTCCTTATAGGTGGGTCTCAAGAGCTACACTCAGAAAGAAGTATTAGAAAGCCTCATTTTCACTGCAGATATAAACCACGTTCTCTGATACAGCATTACCCCAATCAAGGAGATCCTTGATTCTTTGGGTGATTCCTCTCTCTTGATTCATCTGCTTCAGAACTCCTACAGGGCAAGGGCATGAGTTGGGGGACCCCAAACTCCAATGCGTAGTTTTCTGAAAATTCAGAAGTCATGGCATAACTGAGTGAGTTGAATACTTTTTAAAACCTCTCCACAGGACCTAAAAAAATGCCTTACGTATTGTAGGATCCCAATAAATACATAATTATTCACATGCACCATTAGTTTCCTATATAAATATGTCTGCCAGTTAACAATGAGTCCCTTCTGAGCAGGGTCTTATTTTCATAGCCCCAAACCTAAGATGCAACATCCACACTACAGCAGACATTTAGAAAGGATTGGCTGAATGAGTAAAAGAATAAACAATTGAGAGAATAAAATAGGTAATTTATAATGATGCTGACAGAAAACACGACTGAGTTCAGGAACTTCTCCAAATTCAGACACAACACCAAGTGTATGTTCTGTGAACTAATTATTTCCAAGCTTCTGGATTCTAAATATCAGTAAAGTTAATTATTCACAGACACACAAAACTGGGATAGCTATAGGTGCCAATTTGATTTTTTATTTTGCTAAGTAGAAAAAGAAAGTACCATCTTCTATCACTGGAATTTCATAAAAGAAGGGACATTCTGAGCAACAAAAAAGCACAAAGGACATAATTGAAAGGAATGGATAGTCCTTTACATTAAATAAGTTCATTTTCATGGGAAAACTCAGGATTATGGCTTATTTTTCTCATTTCGACATTTGTTTCCATCTGACATGAGAATCTCGACACCAGACTATGATTTGGTGCCTAGTGATTCTGAACCAATTCTGTAACTCATCATAGTCTCTCAGAGAATGGCTAATGTATTGTCTGAGAAGATAGGCAAATGGTTTTCCCTCTGTGCAGAGATGTACACGTGACAGTTTGCGTCACCAGGAGTAAAGAGTAGGTAGAAGTTTTGCTGATGTCGCATTTTTTTGCTACTTCTCTTTTCCAGCTTTTCCCATAATAGTATACTGTCATTCAGGTATGTTATGAAGGAAACAAAAAGTCTTTACTTTTTTAAATCTCCACAATTCAAAGTAAAATTTTAGCAGAGAGTTGTGTATATTTAAAAGCACTATGGTCTTCGAGCCACCGATCCTTTATTTATAACAGGAATATCAACTAACATCAAAAATTATTGGTACCTTAAACCCTTTAAAGACAACTGATAGCAAAATTTAAAATTTAAAGGTAGAAAAAAATTACACAAAGGGAGTTTTATTGATGTCCATGAAAGCGAAACTCCTTATGCACTAAACTTCTATGAGATCTATACCAAGTATGTAATAGGAAACTTACTTAGTAATTATGAACTTGATCTTCGGTTTAAAGGTTAAGGAATCTAAATTCAGTCCTACAGTGACTAAAGCAACAATGCCTGACATTCCCAAAAATTCCACTGGGGAGAAAAAAAATGAATAAAATTAAATGCATTTAAATCTGCACACTGAGGTACTTTATCTTGAGTGAAGAATTGGTAGGAAACTTAAGAGTAGCAGTTCTTGTAAAGTTGCTTCAAGGGATTGGCCTAATCCAGTAGATCAGGGGATGGCAAACTTCTTCTGTAAAGGGCCAGATTGTAAATATTTAGTCTTTGTGGGCCATATGGTGCCTATTGCAACAGCTCAAGTCAACTGTCGTAGTGCAAAAGCAGCCATAGATAATATGTAAATGAATGAGTGTCCAATAAAACTTTATTTACCAACACTGAAATTTGAATTTCACATAATTTTTACATGCCACAAAATAGTCTTCTTTTGTTTTGTGTCTTTAGCCCATTTTGAAATGTAAAAACCATTCTTAGCTAACAGGCTGCACAAAAATAGGCAGATTTGCCCCATAGGCTGCAGCTTGCCAACCCCTGCTGTAGACGATTGTTGACAATCGGGCTAAGGGAAAAATAAATTTAATAGCCCTCAAGGCACTCCTTAAGCACCTCATTCACATTGCACTACATGTGCTAGCAGTTATGGGCCAAACTCAGTGTTACCTGGGTGACTGCAGTTCCTGAAGCCCGCTTTTCTTATACCTGATACAGCCCTCCCTAATTAAAGTTATAATTCACTGGGCTCTAAACAAATGTGTAAATGTAGGCTGAGGCAGGAAAACCATGCCTGAAGAATGTTGAATACCATAAATACCAACAGTCGTAGGCTGCAGAGTCATCAAATAAATAGCACATTTTAAAAAGTCAGACAGAAAGGAAGAGAAAGAACGTGAAAGGGAGGAATGGAAGAGCTTTGGGGCAGGGCACACAGAGCTGGCTGCTCTTGGAATGTGACCCTCTCCTTTCTTCATTAGTGCCCCTGCATTCATGAAATAAGTGTAAAATAGTCATGCTTCACACAGTTGTTGTGAAGATTGAATTAAAGAACACAAAAAGTGCTTGGCACACTTTTAAAGCAATGAATAAATGATAATATTATGCTATTAATTGTTTATATCTAATCACTTTATTGCTTAGTAAATTAAAATTGTTTATTAATTTAAAGAGGATTTTATTATTCCTTTGCTTCTCTAATCACCTGAGTTCGACTTAGGCTTCTTTTTATCTACTTATTTAAGTGAATTTAACTTAAATAACCAATGACAGCTTGTCACGGTGGTTTGGGCCTTCGTCACAGCTACGCTGGAGGCTGAGGCAGAGGATCCCTTGAGCCCAGGAGATCAAGGTTTATGGGGAACTGTGATCATGGCTGTGACTGACCACTGCACTCCAGCCTGGGCAACATACCAAGACCCTATTTTTAGTCTCTAAAAAAGTTATTAATTAATAATCAATGATAGTAAAACCAATGGTACTGCAAACTGTGAAGACAGGGAAACCGCCTCTCAAAATACTTATTTCCAATTCTCTATAATTAGTATCTTATAAACAAGGAACAGCAGGAATAATCAGCCCAGTCACAGGCAAGAAAGGGTTGCGTGGTTTGTAGACTTTTAAAATGGTAATAAAACTGACTAAAAGTCCTCCTGCTTTTTATTATCTCCATTCCCCAGAAATTCTAAGTAATGTCACTTGATAAAACATCCCCCCCTGCTAGGACAGACCCTCCCCTTTCCCCATCTTGGAATGCCTGTAGCCTAGACTTTTATATAACTCACATTCTTTCACGGATTATACACCAACACTCTTAAAGTGCCTCTTGTACACTAAATTCAAACTTTTTCCATGGGCTGATATAGCAATATTCCTAGGTGTGTCACCTGTCAACCAACCAAGTCCCAGAAGCACTGCCTCCTTTGTCGTGTTGCAATGTCTGTGCAATTTTGTGACTATATTATTTCATGAAAAAGAAAGAATGTCTTGATACGAGTGGAGTGATTTGTAAAAGTTTGGGTTTCTTGAATTTAACACAGTAGCAACAAAAATGGAAAATACTACACGTGCCTGGAGAGGTGACTCTCTAACCTCAAACTGATGTTCTCTAGACTTTATTAGTGAAGTTTATTAATTTATTAGTGAAGGAAAAGAACAAAAATAGGTAACCGTGACAGAAACATTAACATCAGAGAATGTGAAGTGAGAATTTTACCTCTGTTTTAGCTTTCTGGCAATGGAACTCCTAACCAGTGCCTGTTTCTGACTTTGCTGTCAGGACTTATTAAGTGTAAAAGACTTCCTGAAGTGGTTTTTAAATTCCTGATTAAACAAAAGAAATGTATTGTCTCACAGTTCTGGAGGGTAGAAGTCCAAGATCAAGGCGTGAGCAGGGTAGGTTTCTTCTGAGGGCCGTGATGGAGAACCTGCTCCAGGCCTCTCTCCTAGCATCCGGCAGCCTCAGGCATTCCTTGCCTTGTAGCTGCCACTCTCCCTGTGTCTTTACATCAGCTTCCCTCTCTCTATGTGTGTCTGGCCCTGTGTACAAATTTCCCCTTTTATAAGGGACCCAGTCATATTGAATTAGAGGCCATCCTAATGACCTCATCTTGATCATCTGCAAAGTCCCTATTTCTAAATAAGGTCACTTTCACAGGTACTGGGGGTTAGGATTTGAGGGGACACAATTCAAACTGTAACAGGAGGCTACCTAGCAAGCTTTCTTTCTGAGTAGGGGCACAGTGCTGCCTTGAAACTTTGTACAAAGAATCATTGGCCAAAATCAGTCCTGACACAAGAGTCCTGACTTGGGGATATATGAGGGCTGTCCAGAAAGCATCCAGCCATTATTAATACTATTTTTCACATCACATGGCTAGGTACTTTCCAGACAGCCCTTGTGTGTAAGCCTGAGTGGTTAATGCTAAATTCCTACCTTCTCTCAGTGATTCACACCCTGCAATAAGTCTTACCTAAACACATGCAACCAAAATAAAGATATTTCCTCTCTGCTGGTAGTATATACAATCTCGGAAGCATAATATCTAGAGAAAATCATCAATCTCTTTAAGGCCAATACTTAGAGACCTTGTACCTGCTCAGAAAAGTCAATTGTTACATTTTCAGTAATTGTGGGAGCCAGTTGTTGACCAAAGCTATCCTCGATATCAGCCATGGTGGGTGAATTTATACATAAAAACTGGCAAACATTACAAATCAGGACTTTTCTTTCACCTCAAGAAAGACTAGAACCAAGATTCAGGCTCAGTTCTCTACACTCTATTAAGTCAAGAGTAGCTCATTTGTTTAAAGATTGTATACTCTACAGCTGTGTGAATTAAACACAGAAATCAGCTGTAAATATTTTACGATACTGTTTAGCACAAAATAATTAGACCTCATAAGGTTTAAATATATTTTTGGTAAACATTTCATTTGCAGTGAATTGAACTGAACTGATCAAGCTTTTTGGTTGTATACCCAAATGAGCATAAGGAATCCATACTGCTTAACTATATGACATCTTTATCCCAACTTGAAAAGTTGTATATCAGGACTGGGAGTCTTCTAATGTGGAAATGATGCTAAAAGACTCAGGAACCCCACCCTATCCCCCTGCCCTCAATTCACACCCCCATACATCTGATAAGAGGATGCCAAGCATTGACTGAAAGTGCCTCCCTTTTGCCGAAGTAAAGGGGAAGTGAATCTACATTTATTGACTGCCCTACTTTAAGCCCAGTAGGTGTTCTCATAAATGTTTAAAACCAGCTTTGGGGGCGGGGCATGGGGGAAGAAGCCCTAATTTGTAGTGTTGTAGTGTCTTCCAATTTCTATAGCGTAAAGACTCCCACCGTGGCCAATTTCAAACTACCAACGTGATGTCACTTGAACACAGAGATGGAAAGAGACGTACATAATCATCTGCAGCAGGATCAGCAGGTCAGAGCAGGAATGAGCTCAGTGTTGATTCCTCTTCCAGGAGACTGACTGCCAGTGACTATATATAATGTCAAAGGTAAAGCTCAAAAAGAATAAGAGGGTAATCACAGAGAGGAGTGCAAGGGAAGGGACATGTAGTTGAAATAAAGAGGATATTAAGAGAGACCAGGAACGAGAGAGAGCTGGCAGTAAGACAACATGACAAGACACACAGAGGGGCCACAAAAAGGAGGAGATGTTGGAAAGAAGTAACTGGATTCAAGATCAGGAAAAAATAAAAATATGTAAAGCTTACTTTAAGGACAGCATTTTTGTATTTGTTTTTGCCTTACCAATGTAGAAAGTCAGGTACACCATTGAAAAGCAGAGAATGATATCAGTCAGTGTATTGCTAAAAAGGTCAGTCAATATAAACTGAATGATTTTTGCACACCAAAATCCACATATTATGCTTCCAAAAATGTCCAAGCTGAGTCCCGTGACTACATGCAACGCTAGGGAAAAAAAAAAAAAAAAAAGAAGGAAAGAGAAAATAAGAAACAAAAGGTTGAATGTTTGGGACTGTGCACTTTGGTTTGCTCTTGAGATTTTGAGTGGGTGCCTCATTCTGCAGCAGATGGGAGTGTCTCTGGAAAGTCTGGCAAAAGAGGCTCTCTATCCTTCCCTTACAGTCTGCAGTTTGCTTGAGGTTTACTTATCCAGGGACAGAAGATTCAAATGTCCTCAGGAGACAGGCAAGGAGTATAAATGTAAAAAACTGTGACAAACTGGAGAGTGAATGTCCAAACAAAAGACATCCAAATTTAAAATTATTATAAATGGCCCAGTGCGGTGGCTTACACCCCTAACCTTAGCACTTTTGGAAGCCAAAGCAGGAGAATTGCTTGAGGCCAGGAATTCAAGACCAGCCTGGGCAGCACAGCAAGGCACTCTCCCCATCCCCCACCGTCTCTACAAAAAATTTAAGAAATTAGTCAGCCATGGTGGCGCACACCTGTAGTCCCAACTACTCAGGAGGCTAAGGCAAGAGGATCACTTGAGCCCAGGAGTTGGGGTTGCAGTGAGCTGTGATCTCACCACTGCATCCAGCCTGGGTGACAGAGCAAGATCTTGTCTCAAAAACAAAACAAAATAAACAAAAAATGTTATAAACTATGTTAGGGCCAAGCAAACCATGCCCAGGGTCCCTGCCAACCTACAATCAGTTCATGATCCCTGCCACCAGCCCAGGGGGCTCTTGGACAATGAAGATGCGAAATGTCCATTAACTACCATAACTGGGAGCACTAGGGACATTAGTGGGTAGGTATCAGGGTAGTCCTAAAAAACTAAATCCTAAATGACAAAAATTGTTGCACCCACAAGCTCCCTCACTGAAAAGCACTGCAAACCCCTCCTAATTCAGTAATATTTATTTTTCCTTTGGACACCTTCCTTTTGCAACTATTGCAAAAGGACATCAGGAGGACACCTTTTCCCCCTTCATGCTGTGTTTCCCCCCCTTTCTTCTCTATTAATACCACACTTGGAAACCTAGCAAGGCAACAAGCTCCATCTCCCAAAGAGTTTTTGCCACAGGAATCTGGTTATTGTCATTTCTAGGACCAGACTCTCCAGGACTGCATGAACCATTCTGCTTTCATCCTCAGATTTAAATCCAGGACCACACCATTTCTTAACAAGTACTCACTGAAATTCAGATTGGTCCAAAAGAAGTAAATCTGAGGGAGATGACACAATTGTGCATGTGTGCATATGTGCATTTATGCATATTGAGAGAGATGAAATCATTAACGTTCTTTCTCCCTTAATTTCCAAGAAAACAAATACAGTCATAACTCTGATATCCATGGGGGATTGGTTCCAGAAGCCCCTAAGGATACCAGAATTGCATGTGCAAGTCCCTGATATAAAATGACAGAGTATTTGTATATAACCTACAGCACATACTCCTGTATACTCGATTTAAAAGTATGATGATTTAAATCTCTAGATTACTTATAATACCTAATATAATGTAAATGCTATATAAATAATTGTTATACTGTATTGTTTTTTAATTCATATTTTTTTGTTGTATTGGGTTTTGTCGTTTGTTTGTTTTCTAAAACTTTTCCTTCTGTGGTTGGTTGAGTCTTCGGATATAGAAGGCTAACTATAATTGGTTTTCTTGGCACCTGATATATCATTTTAATTGGTCCAAAAGTAAGGTATAGGGAAAGCAGCAAAGACATCTTAAATGTATTTTAATTTTAAAATTAAAATGAATGATTTTAGAAAATATACAGACAGAAAAAATGCTCTTACCCCTAAACTTAGAAATATGTATTGGGTTGCTTCGAAAAATTCCAAAAAGAATAGATGTGAAGCCACAAATGATCAATGATTCTCCTCTAATGATATCAATATATATTTTAGAAAAGCCTGGAAAAGGAAACACAAAATATAAATGATGTTCTTGCATGAGAAACAAACAAAAGATGGGATAGGATAGGGAAAAAAAAGAAGAAGAAGGAAAAGAAAGTAACATGACTGGGATGGGTCTGAAAGAAAACGACAATCACCATTTTTAAATTTCTCCATTTTGCCTCTGTATTTCCAATGGCAAAGGAACATGGCCATAGCACTCCTTGCATTGCTCATTGAGCTTCAAAAAGAGGCACATATGTCTCAAGATACCACATGTAGCTTGAATCAGACTCCAAAACAATCTCATTTTAGAAGTACAAAATATGATCCAGCAGTTCTACTCCTAGGTATATACCCAAGTGAACTGAAAATGTATGTCCACACAATGATTTGTACATAAATGTTCATAACAGCATTATTCACAATAGTCAAAATGTAGAAACAACACAATGTCCATCAGCTGATGAACAGATAAATATGTAGTACAGCCCTACAATGGGGCATTATTCCTCCACAGAAAGGAATGAAGTACTTATTGATACATGTTACAATGTGAACCTTAAAAACATTACACCAAGTGAAAGAAGCCAGATACAAAAGCCACAGATTCTATGTTTTGATTTATATGAAATATCCAGAAAAAAACAAATACATAGAGAGCAAAATAGGTTAGCAGTTGCCAGAGGCCTGAGTAGATGCCACATCCAAATTTCCATCTGATATCATTTTCTTTCTACTTGAAGGACTTCCTTTAACATTTTTTGTAGTGCAAGTCTGCTGGTGATAAATTCTTTCAGTTTTTGTATGTTTAAGAAAGTCTTTATTTACTTTGCTTTTGAAAGATATTTCACTGAATTTAGAATTCTCAGATGGCAATATTTTTCTTCTAGTACTCTAAAAACATTGCTACACCATATTCTGGTTTGCATCGTTTCTGAAGTGAAGTCTGTTATTATTTTTGTTCCTCTAAATATAACATGTCTTTTTTTCTGGCTACTTTAAAATTTTTCTCTTTATCACTGGTTTTAAGGAATTTGATTTTTATGTACCTTGATGTAGTTTTCTTTGTGTCTCTTGGGCTTGGTGTTTATTGAGCTTCTTGAATTTGCAGCTTTAATTTTTTTTTTTATTTCGGCTTATTATGGGGGTACAGATTTTAAGGTTTCCCTTTCCCCCCTCCCCCCACAAGTCTGAGTCTCCAGCATGACCATCCCCCAGATGGTGCACATCTCACTCATTATGTATGTATATACCCACCCCCCCCCCCCTCCCCCCTGCCCAATACCCTATTACTGTAGTACCTATGTGTCCACTTAGGTGCTGCTCAGTTAATACCAGTTTGCTGGTGAGTATATGTGGTGCTTGTTTTTCCATTCTTGGGATACTTCACTTAGTAGTATGGGTTCCAGCTCTAACCAGGAAAATATAAGATGTGCTATATCACCATTGTTTCTTAGAGCTGAATAGTACTCCATGGTATACATATACCACATTTTATTAATCCATTCTTGGATTGATGGGCACTTGGGCTGTTTCCACAGCCTTGCAATTATGAATTGTGCTGCTATAAACATAAAATTTAGAAATGTTTTCATCAATATTTCTTCAAATATTTTTCATTCCTCCCTCTACTTTCTTTTGGGGATTCATACATTAGGTCATTTGAAATTGTCTAAAGCTCACTGATACTCAGTTCATTTTTTCCAGTCTTTATCTCTGTATTTTATTTTAGGTACTTTCTATTGTTATGTCTTCAAGTTCACTAATTCTTTCTTCTGCAGTACCTAATCTGCTATTATTAAGACAAATTACAATCATCTCATCTTACTACTTATTACCAACTTTGACTATGACAGAAGGCATAAAAATATTGGTTAAACACATTGGGAGATTATTGGCACATTTGATTTGTCTGGTAAAGAAATCCTTTAGGGGCGGGTTGGGAGGAAAAAAAAAAAAAAAGAAATCCTTTAATTCTTCTCTTAGATTCAGTAAGTTAACTGGGGCAAGTGAAGTATAAGGTTTGGTATAGAAAGTTTTGGATTTGATTTATACTTATTTTTAATAGTAAAATACCACAAGAATTACTCTCTACATTCTTTATTGGCTTAACATGAAACTGCCCTATGTTGATTCATTGTAAGACCTGGAAAAGGAAAGAATCAAACAAAAACCTCTATAATTTCATGACCCTGATATAACATTGAAGTTTTTTTCTGAGCATATAATTCTTTTTATTCAATTGAGATCATACTAAAACTTTGTATTTTCTTCTTTTATAAGATCCTCTTCCAGGTTTGCTTTCAAATAAAAATTATTTGAGTCCTATGTGATCTTTTAAAACAGGTAATGAATAGACAAGTTCCTTTTAACTTCTTTACGAACATCCGCTACATTTTTCAGTGAGCCAATCCATCTCAGATTTAGGTTGTACAAGTTTTACAATGCACCTCATCTAAAGAAGCACCATTAACATTGTAAAAGCTGTAGTTTTGTATATTATGATAATTTAAGGCATAAGGCAAAAAGTAGTTGTTCCTTTAAAAAATTAATATATTATGACAATTAGATAGAAGTAAATTGCTTTGAAGGACCATTTATCTAATTTACACAAAGGAACCATATGGTGGTCCTAAGTGAGAGTGATTTTCCACATAAAAACAATTCAAATTTGTCTTACTAGGAAAAAATGCTACTGGATCCGGAACTCATGTACTAACTGAGTGTTATTGACATAAAGAAAATATCAATTAAGAGCCAGCCAAATACCTTCATTAGTTTTGTCTTAAAGAAATAGAAGACTTTCTACTGCTCTTTTGAAAAAAAAAATTTAATATTGAAACTGCAATAAATAACATTGATAATTTATTATAACGATTTACAGTCAAGAGATTGCAGAAAAAGGGAGTGGCACAAGCATGAGGTAATAAAGCAAGGGCCCATACAAATGGCTAAAAGAGAAAGATAGGTAAAGGAAAGACAGAAAAAAAATTGTATGCAGGGGAATAATGAGAAAAAAGAGAACAGGATCATACTCTTTGAGAAACATAATTACCTTGAAACAATTTCGAACATCAACACAAAAAGTGCCTGAAACCCTCCTATGTTTTCCCAGCTGTAGGTAAAAATGGGCATAAAAATGGGAATATCACATGCCAGAAAGGTTGGAGGTTTCTCACTCTAATAATAAGGGAATATATTTCTACTAAATACAACCGATACTTCTGATATTTCTGAGTCAAAGACAGAAACCATAGCATCTAACCATTTCATGTTATACTGCTGTGTTAATAAAACATGACAATAGGGGGCTATTTCAGAGTGGAATCATCTTTTACCTTACCACGTAAGACAGGAAGTAGTGCAGGACCCCAAACCCTCCTGGGAATAAGCTTTTATTAAGTAATATATTTGAGAGCCAAACTAAAACTTACCCTTTTTCTTTGCAATAAACTACTATCCCCTATGCCACCTGCCGAAACCTTTGCCATTCCAAAATGGAGGCAGTTCTACAAGAGGTAGCAGGGCCTTTGAAAACTCTCAATGGGGGTCTTTATTTTTTCTTTGAATTGGTAAACACACTCACCAACTTAGAATCTCTACCTTGTGGCTTAGAATTCACTGGAATGGAATAAGAATGCCAATTTTTATCACCTTCTAGAAAGGTTACATTTTCTTCTTAAAAATATCCTTTGAGATGATAATTGATGCTGTTTATCTCAGATCCTCAGTGGTTACCTTATTTGCACTGTCTCCTTCAAGTCAAACAATGCATCATCCCCAAGAAGAAAAGCACACATCCTACTCTGCTTGGATATACAATTCATGCAAAAAATAATAATCAAAAGAAAACAATGCATCCTTATATTTCAAAGATAAGAGAGAAATAAATTTGACATACCAAGAGTTTTCATTGAAGTCACAGAATGAATAGGATCTGTAATGCTGAGGATGATGCTAAAGAGCAGGCAAGATTGCAAATCCCATGAACTTGCATTGAATTTCAGAACCACATATCCAATTACAGCGAATGCTATAGAAAAGCTAATTAATCCAGTAGACAAGACCTGTGAACCAATTCATAACACAGTATTAGATTTAAAGTCTAATGATGGCATCACTGCGTTTACTTATGTCCCAAAAGTCAGATATTGGTTATAAATTATATACAATTACTCTGGGAAATAATAACTTTAAAAAATATTCTAGTTTAAACACCTGCCTCAAAGAAACCAGCCTTTCAAACAAACAAGATTCTACCTTCTTGTTAAAAAGACTGTTTCAACTCTCTTTCTTATTGCTATTCTGGTTTAATAGTTCTCAATATCAAAATGTTCTTAAAACAGAATACAAATTTCTCCTGCTTCTATACAAAACATATCATGGTTTAACCTCTGTGGAAAGTAATATGGAGATACATCAAAGAGCTAAAAGTAGAGCTACCTTTTGATCAAGCAATCCCACTACTGGGCATCTACCCAAAGGAAAAAAAAGACATTCTATAAAAAAGACGTCTGCACTCGAATGTTTATAGCAGCACAATTCACAATTGCAAAGATGTGGAAACAACCCAAGAGCCCAACAATACATGAGTGGATTAATACAATGTGGTATATGTATACCATGGAGTTCTACTCAGCCACAAAAAACAATGGTGATCTAGCACCTCTTGTATTATCCTAGATGGAGCTGGAACCCATTCTACTAAGGAAAGTTTCCCAAGAATGGAAAAACAAGCACCATCCATCAAAACTGATCAACACTTATGTGCACCTATAGTAGTAACATTCATCAGGTGTCGGGCAGGTGGGAGGGGGGAAGAGGGAACAGGTATATACACCCCTAATGAGTGCGGTGTGTCACTGTCTGGGGGATGGACACACTTGAAGCTCTAACCTGGATGGGGCAAAGGCAATATATGTAACCTAAACATTTGTACCCCTGTAATATATTGAAATAAAAAATAAATAAATAGAAATAAAAATAAAACATATCCTGGTTTCTTCGGTGTTGAAAGTAAATTGTTAGTGACATATTATGTCTAGTACATGACACAAATTTATATACCAAGACTCTAAAATATTCAGAGAAGATTAACAGTAATAACCAATAATAAAATAGAACAATTAAAATAACATGCCAACATCCCTACTCTTGCACTGTGGGGCCATTGTTAAAGCAAAATAAGGATTACTTGAACCCAAGCACTGCAACACCTCAACAGTCAATCTGATAAGTGAAATGGCTACTAAATGACTAATAGACAGGTAATGCACACAGACTGGTACACTGGACTGGACAAAGGGATGTTTCATGTCCTGGGCAGGACAGAATGGGATGGCTCAAGATTTGGTCACACTACTCAGAAATGTACACAATTTAAAACTTAGGAATTGTTTGTTCCTGGAATTTTCCATTTAGTATTTTTGAACTGCAGTTGACTGCAGGTAACTGAAGCCCTGAAAAGCAAAACCATGGATAAGGAGGGACTACTGTACAGAATACCATAGAAAAAGAGACAATCTTAAAAGGGAGAAAAGTCTGGTGCTTACAAAAGAATGATAATTAGATTGATAGCAGTTGTCTCAAAAGCAACAATTAAGCTCAGCTATTATTCAAATTGAGGCAAAATAAATCCATTTTCAGAGAAACAAAGACTACTAAACAAAGACAGGTGACTATTCACAGACCTTTAATGAAAAGGATACAAAATTACAGCTAGAAGGTATTAATAGATAGGACCAAGTTCTAGTCTCCTATACCACTGTAGGATGATTATAGTTGACTATAATATATTATATCATTTCAAATAGCTAGAATGAGGATATGGAATATTCCCAACACAATGAAATAATAAATGTTTGAAATGATGGATATGCTAATTACCCTGATCTGATCACTATACATTATATGTATGGAAACATCACTATGTACACCATAAATATGTACAATTATTTTATGCCAATTTTAAAAACAAAAGTTTTTATTTTTTAATTTAATGTAATTTTTTTTTTTTTTTGGAGACAGAGTCTCACTCTGTTGCATAGGCTAGAGTGCCATGGCATCAGCCTAGCTCACAAAAACCTCAAACTCCTGAGCTCTAGCAATCTTCTTGCCCCAGCCTCCCAAGTAGCTGGGACTATAGGTGCACACCATTACACCTGGCTAACTTTTTATTTCTATTTTTAGTTGCATGGCTAATTTTTACTATTTTTAGTAGAGATGGGGTCTTGTTCTTACTCAGACTGGTTTTGAACTCCTAACCTCAAGCGATCCTCCTGTCTAGGCCTCCCAGCATGCTAGGATTACAGGCATGAGCCACCATGCCCAGCCTAAACAAAATTTTTTTAAAAACCACTAAAGCAACAATTCAGGAAAAAGGAAGCTGAATCCAGAAATATGGAGTAGGATGCAAGAAGGAACAGTGAGCAAAGAAATTAAAATCGGTAAGCATGTGGATGAGTGTAGAGAAGCATTAGTACTTAAAACATTTATAATAGTAATAACAATGATGACAACTAATTTCAGGAATGGTAGTCCTATGTTAATAATGTAATAAAATGTAAGGTGAGAAAGGAGGATTGAAGTGAAAGCATTCTGAAGTTCCAGCATTATTTAGAGGAAGATAGACATATTGATTTAGGTTTAGACTTGTTAAATCAAATGTGATTATTAGAAATTTTAGTTTAAAAAGTATGAAACCATTAAGAGAACTGTATTCTTTATAAATATAACAATTCTGGCTGCACCTAACAGAAAACAGCACTTACAGTGTCAATAAATGGAGATTTCGTTTTTCTCAAGTAATCCTAAATCCAGAATAAGCAAACTTATGCTGGTATGGTGGCTCCCAATGCCCTCAAGGACCAAGGCTTTTTTGTTGTTGTTGTTCAGCCATCCTTAGCATGTGTTCTCATGTTCACCACCTCATAGTCTCAAGATGGATATTTCTCCTCCAGCCCAATGGAGGGCTCCAGGCAGAAAGAGAGATAAAATAAAGACCAAAAAGCACATGCCAGCTGATTTAGCCCATTTATTTAGGGCTTTCTAGAAACCTTATCTGGCAAACTTTTGTACACATGTCATTGGCCAGACAGACTTCTTAGGCTACCATAGGTGTCAGGAATGATGTGAAATATGGTATTTTACAATGGACCTTTTGTCATACCAAACAAAAAATAGTAAGTTTCTGTTAGTGAGAAAGAAAGAGAGAATGCATATTGGGTAAGTAATCAGAAGTGTCTGCCACAAAAATAAAAAGTAGACTATAAAACTTTTGAACAAGCAGGAAGAACAAAATGGAAAAAGAAAACTGAATCAATTCAATTGATAAAGAGAAGGATGAGAAAAAGCAAAGAAAAAGCATGGTAAGTACAAAGTACAATATGTGAGAAAAAATCCAAATACTTTTTTTTCTCTTTGACTTTTTAAAATCTATTTTAAATTTACAAACAGTAAAATTAATTCTTTTGGTGTCCAGTTATATGAAGTTTTTTGTTTGTTTGTTTGTTTGTTTTGTTTTTTGAGACAGAGTCTCACTCTCTTGCCTAGGCTAGAGTGCCATGGCATCAGCCTAGTTCACAGCAACCTCAAACTCCTGGGCTCAAATGATCCTCCTGCCTCAGCCTCCCAAGTAGCTGGGACCACAGGCATGTGCCACCATGCCTGGCTAATGTTTTCTATTTTTAGTTGTTCAGATAATTTATTTCTATTTATTGTAGAGACAGGGTCTTGCTCTTGCTCAGGCTGGCCTCGAACTCTTGAGCTCAAGCAATCCTCCCACCTCGGCCTCCCTGAGTCCTAGGATTATAGGAGTGAGCCACCGCGCTCAGCCCAGTAATATGAGTTTTAATAATGCATAGAGTCATGTAACCACAATTAAGAAACAAAACATGGCTGGGTCTAGTGGCTCTCACCTGTAATCCCAGCACTTTGGGAGGCCAAGTCAGGAGGATTGCTTGAGGCCAGGAGTCCAAGACCAGCCTAGGCAACATAGGGGGAACCCATCTCTACGAAAAATTTAAAAATTAGCCTGTGGCCTATGCCTATAGTCCCAGGTACTTAGGAGGCTAAGGCTGGAGGATTGCTTGAGCCCAGAAGTTCGAGGCAACAGTGAGCTATGACTGCACTCTACCCTGGGCAACAGAGGGAGACTCTGTCTCAATAAAAAAAGAAAAAAAAAAGAAACAGGTCCATCACCCCCAAAATTTTCCTCGTGCTACCCTTTTGTATTCAATTCCTCCTCCTCCCCCAGTCTTTGGCAACCAATGATCTGTTCTCCAGATCTATGGTTTTGCCATTTCTGGAAGGTCTATGAATGGAATTATACAATATGTATGTACCCTATTGAGCCTGGCTTCCTTCTATTAACATAATACATTTTAAATTCTTCCATGCTGTGCCCATCAATACTCCATTTCTTTTTTATTGCTGAGTAATATTCCATAGTAAGATGTCCCACAATTTATTTATCTATTTACCAGCTGAAGAACATTTGTTTCCAGACTTTGAGATTATAAATAAAGCTGCTATATAGATTAACATAGAAGTTTTTATGTGAACATATGACCCAGCAACCTCACTCCTATGTATATATAGAAGAGAAATGAAAACTTATGTTCACATAAAAACCTGTTTCTTTTTTTTAACTTTACCAGAAACTCCCAGACTGGTTTACAAAGTGGCCATACCATTTTGCATTCTCACCAGCAATGTATGAAAGTTCTGTTTTCTCCACATCTTCACCAGCACTTGGTATTATCAGGTTTGTTGTTATTGCTGTTTCAATCTAACAGGTATGTAGTGGTATCTCATAGTGGTTTTATTAGCATTTCCCCAATGATTTATTATGTTGAACATCTTTCCAAGTGCTTATAATCCATCCATATATCTTTCTTGATGCCTCAAATCTGTCCAGATCTCTTGCCCTTCTAAATATATTTTTAATCACAATAAATATTAGTGGACTAAAACTAGCATAAAAAAAACAGCAGTGATTCTCAACCTGGATAAGATAACAAAAACCAACTGCATACTATCAGAAAGACATCTAAATATAAGGAAACTAAAATCTTGAAAATAAAAGGATGGAAAAATCATACCCAGGCAAACACTAACAAAAGGAAGCTGGTATAACTATAGTAATACCAAACAAAATTGACTTAAGGCAAAAAGCATTATTTGGGATAAAGGGTACCTAAATAATGAGAAAAAATAAATGGAAAAATAATAATACATATAGATACTTAATAATTAGCCCTGTTTATATAAAGTAGAATCTAGTAGAATTGCAAGGAAAAGTTGATAATTCCACAGTCATAGTAGAGACTTAGATCGAGCATAAAAACAATATTGGCAAAGATATATAGAAGAATGAACTTCATAGTTAATAAAACAATCTGGCGAACAAATTTAGACCCCTACACTCAACAATTAGAAAATATACATTTTGTAAAGCAAAGACAGAACATTTGGGGAAACTGATCACGTACAAGGCTACAAAGCAAATATTCACAAATCACAAGACTTGATATACAAAATACATTATCTAATTGCAATGTGATAAGAGAAATAATAATAAAAGCCACATTTGGAAAATTTAAGACAACTTCTAAATAATTAATAGGTCAAAAAAGTATATGAAAATTTAGAATTGGATGATAATGAAAACACTAACAATCAAAACAAGTGGGATGCCACTAAAAAGAAAATTTAAAACCTTAAATGCACTAAATACAAACAAAAGAGCTAAAAATCAATCAACTAATGTTAACTCAAGATGTTATAAAGAACCAAATAAAACCAAAGAAAGTAAAATATTTTCTGAAAAGACAAAATAGTTCGATAGCATGATTAAGAAAAAAAGAGTGAAGACACAAAGAACAATCTTAGCAGTGAAAACAGGAGCAAATCTACAGATACAGTTGGGATGAAATTAGATGTGATACTAGCATCCAGGTTTTGCCACTTATCAACCTTGTTTGTGACATCTGAGCTTCAGTTTGCTCAGATACAAATTGGAGCTGATATTTACTCTGATATTTACAGTGAGACTGCCTAGTCACCGTGGTCACTCAGCAAATACTAATCCCTTCCCTCTCTCTTCAACTCTCTTTAACTATTGGTTCTGCAAAATGAAGAAGGCAAAACTAGAAATGTGCAATCTGAAAATTATTAATCTTCTAGATAGACAGTCATATTCTCTATCAAACTGCACAAGCAAGAATTGACCATAATTTGTTTTATTTTTTAAATAATTTTCTTTATTTTTTTAATTGTTTATTATTTCTTTTTTTATGCTTCTCACTGTAGAAGATGGAATCAACGTAATTTGTTTTAAAATGTGTTCTTACCTGCCAAAACATATTCTTGAGTACATAATAGTCCACATCCAAAGCAGCCATAAATATAATTAAAGGTAAAAAAAAGGAATAAAGTGAAAAACTTGGTGTTCTTAGAAGAGGGTAGACAGTTTGGTGCACCTAAAGTAACAAAGGCAAACAAGAAATTAGTTCACTGCCATTTTAAGTATTGGAAATTAGGTTGATGCTATGTCAATCAATATAAATTTTAGAACATTCCAGTTTACAGCTAACAAGAGGTTGTCTGCAAGGTTGATCCTGGGGGTTTGGGGGTAGATTTATTGCTCTAACCATCCAGACAGGTTTTATATATATTTATATAGTCCTTTACATATATAGAGAGAGAATTGTGTGGGTTTTGGCTACATGGACATTGCTTGTGGTATGTAACCAGTATTTTTAAAAGTGATATACTTACCATTGGTGACACCTGAAAAAATTTTAGGTGATTCACAGGTAAGTATTTTTTTATTTGACTGTTACATGTTTATTTTAATTTGCAATAGGCAGGGGAAAGAATCTTAAACAAGTACTTGTGGGTTCACAGACAGCTGCTTAGGATTTAAAATCTTTTAGTGAGTCAGTAGAGAAAAAGAATACATAGATAATAGTACAGATTGTATTTATAAGACATAAATCATGAAGGTTGTACATTGATTAATGATAAATACAACAACAGTGGTTGAAGTGCTGTAAATATTCCCTCCTAAAAAGTTTATTTTGGCCCAATGAATAGTTTAACTTTCATTCCTTGACCTTCCTGTGCCTCAGTTTCCTCATCTGTAAAATGGGAATAGAGTGCCTGCTTCCACTGGGGTGCTGTGAGAGTAAATGGTTTAACTGAAGAGTTAATAAGCTAATAAATTAATAAACACAAAACACTTAAAAAAGCCTAGCACATAGTAAACACACAAAAGATGTTAGGTAGTAATACTGTGGTATTTCAGAAGACTAAAAAGAGGCTTTTACAATCCTAGATGGGTAAAAGCATTATCTCCATTTTTAAAAGAATAAAGTAATGAGTTAAGGCAAATTGTTATTGATCTCATTGCTATACAGTTGAAATAAGGAGTTAATACTAAGTTGATAAATTAATGATTTTTTTTCTTGTATCTATAGTGTATATTATATGATGCAAGTTTTACATGCATGTTTTGTTATTGATCTCATTGCTATGCAATTGAAATCAGGAATTAACACTAAGTCGATAAATCAATGACTTTTTCCTGTATCTACAGTGTATATTATGTGATGTATATCTTACACTGAATCTAGCAGTTAAAAAAGAATAACCATGCCTCATAACGAAAATGGCTAGTGGTCTCTATGAGTGTTAGAGACAACAGCAGGAAGAAGCCTATGTATGTCCAGGAGAAGAAAACTAGAGCAAGGCTTCAAAGGCAGATGCTAAGGAACCTAAGAATACAAATAAATTTTCCTCACTTTGAAATTACTGCTTCATTTTCAGATTCCTTAGTTTATGTGTCCTTTATTGTGTGGTTTTCATTTTCACAATTTTTAATACCAGATAAAATTTTTTAGCTGTTCATATAAAAACATTCATACTTTAGGGGATGAGTTGGAATTGAACCTTATTCCTGGTATTTGTCCTTTAATTTATTCTCTAATTTAGTGTACATACAGTACCTCAACAAAATCGTAGGCCAGTCGTCCTATCACGAATCCTGACAGAGAAAGAAGTGTCAAAACAAGGACTTCAGAATTCTTTATATATGTCCTCAAAAGCCCTAAAGAAATACATGTATGTGTTATTTCAACATAATTTATAGTTTCAAAATGATTTCATTAATATTCCTTCTCTCTAGATATTTAATTTTAAACTTCTGAGTGTTATATCATATGGATAAATAATTGACAACTATTACAAATCTATCTCTTAAGAACAAGACACACATACTGAGGCATCTCTAACAGGTGAATCTGGAAAATACTGAAGTTTCAACAGTGTTTGGATTGGCCCATCCAGTGACATATTAGGATCACTGTATGGGCATCTTAACAATGGATCTGATGGCAAGAAATTATAAAAAGCCAAACTTCATATCTACATAGTACATCTTATATTAATAATCACTCATCCTAAGCTACAGCAACGTATGTTCTATAATTTTCCTAAAGCCAAAGATACATTTAACTAAGCTCTAACCATAAAGAAAACTGCCTTTATGAGACAAGTAACAAACAGCACTTATTATTCTCTATCTGCATTTTCTTGCTTTGAAACTCTCTACTCTTTCCAAAACCGTTCATTTCGTTCCCTCCAGAAGCAAGACATAGACTATAATCCAGTGAATTTATGCCTGGGACGAGATTCATTGACATCCTAGATTCTGCATTTGCTGCCTTCCAGTTATGGGTTAAGCCAAATCAGTAAATATTTATTGAATACAGATGGTCCTGACTTAAATGATGCTTCGACTTGTGATTTTTCAAGTTTATGATGGCGGGAAAGTGATACACATTCAGCAGAAACTGTACTTCAAGTATACATACAACCATTCTGTTTTTCACTTTCATACAGTATTCAATAAAATACATAATTATATGTTATTATAAAATAGACTTTGTGTTACATGATTTTGCCCAAGAGTAGACTAATGTAAGTGTTCTAAGAGATTTTAAGGTAGGCTATGCTAAGCTATGATGTGTGGTAGGTTGGGTATATTAAATGCATTTTGACTTACAATATTCTCAACTTATGATGGGTTTATCAGGACATAACCACATCATAAATTGAGGAGCATCTCTACTTCTTACAGGTAAGACCAGATAAACAAATGTTTTTCACACTATTTCTGCAATGCCCTTTCCTACTGGAGCACTTGTCTTTATAAAGGATCCAGAGCTAATGAGGTTTTTGGTCATCAGCACCTTGCGAGACCAAAAGGGACCAAAGTCATTAGTGAGTATTCAAGGACCCCCTGAGAAAGCAATGTCACTCCTTGATACAGTGGATAAAATTAAAGAAGTTCATTAGGCTTCATTATTTGTTCCTTGATAGTCTTCCTAGTTCAAGAAAGGATTTTAAACCAGCTGACATCTTTCCCAAATAAATTTTCTTTTACAGGAGCCTAGAAACTTTTCTCTACAGTTGAATGGTGGTATAAAGCACCTGTATTGTTGAATATGTTACTTTATCTACATGAATATTATTCTCTATTCCTGTTGAATTTTTAATCATTGTTTAAGAGGCCCTTATTTATGAAGCCTTTCCTAATTTTCTTCTTGGGGGTTGGGGTGGATGGTTCATCTTCCCTGAAAAAGAATCACATCAAAAGCCATAATGAAACAGATGGAATTAATGGCATCAGTTATGGCAATGGCAAACTGTATGTCTGGGCTCTATTCGTCTATTTGCTCCAATTGTCCTCCCCTCATCTCAGATATTTCAGTCAGGTTAGGCCTGGCCAGGCAGGTATAAGGCTCTCCCTCCTGTGACCAGAGAATCCTGACCATACTTTTAAAGTTATATCTACCACATTGCATTTTTTGTAATTATTTGTTCACCAATGTCCCCCATGAGAGGGCTGCTCAAGCTTAAGGACTGCCTCATTCTTCTTACATGCCTACCACATTGCCGTGCTCTGCAAATGTTACTGAATGAAGAATTATAGCATAGATGCTACTTATAATTGAATGAAGCTAGACTGACAGCATTCACTCACATCTTATAGCTTCATTGAGCCCCTTCTTTTGATGTAGTTGTGATCACTTTCTGCACTGAGAAGAGGTTCAAAGGGTGGAGGAGAGATAAATTTCAAAAACAACCACCTACCTCCCCAAACAATAATGAAACACACGAGCATTGTAAAATATTCCTTATGAGCCAGGTAGTCAGCTGGCCTCCCGCAGAGTAAATCAGGTTTTTTATTATCTTTTTGTGACCAGAAAGAAGTCGTCATTTTTGCCACTGCTTTTCCAGCCCTAACTTGATGGATTTGTATGTGTTATTATTGGCACTTTCACTTTTGCAGACTAACCTGTAATAATGTACAAAAAGAACATGAGACCTGCCAGGACCCAATTCATCCACACTCTTTCTACCTAAGACTGCACCACACTGAGATCTGAGCATGTCTCTTCTTGTCACAGAGCACATATTAATACCTCTTGTTCCAGAACATTTTGTAGGAACACTAAAGGCACTGTTGGTGTTTCTTGTACTGCTACATGTATGGGAGAGGGGGTATATTGATTGTTGCACCTGCCATTGCAATGATACGGGAATGTGCTTGCCTTCCCTATTGCATAGTGAGTTTCTCAAAGGCCAGGGCTGAATATTGATTGCATATTAATATTACTATTAAATTAATGTAATATTAATATTAACTGAATATTAGGCTGTGCACACATTTTGTGGCACAAAACAGGCTCTCCAAAAGTATTTGATGGGCTGAACTCTTTGAGGTGGAAGGAGCAATGGGAAATATTATGCTCCTCCTTCTCTGTCACTACAAATCATTCAGGAATTCCACTTTACTACTCCAACCCAATACCCCTTTTCCTCTCTCAGCCCCCTCCAAATCCAAAATTCAAATGGGAAACAAGGTCACAGCTGAGTCACCCCAGTTAAGGTTGGGTGTGTGGATGAGGGTGAATAACCTAAACACAAAGGAAAAGACCAAGGTTAGTTTGATCACATGGTGCCTTTGAGTAAATTTTAAAAAGCCTCCCTTCCTCAGGGCAATGAAGCCTGAAACGGAGCAAGGTTTGGCATGTGAATGACAGGCTAGATTTGGGCCCCAATAGCCCGCGTCTGCTGGTGCCTTGAGCCAGACGTAGCCTGTGCAAATCCATGCAGTGGTCCTGAGAAGGACGTGCTCTGCTTTTCCTTGAAGCTAGCCTTAACCTAAAAATCCCAGAGGTTCCTGCAATATCCCCAAATATATTTCAATCTTATCTTTGGGCCCTTGTTTTGCACTTGTTTGGTCAATAAATAGGTCACAATGATTCTGATGTAAACAGAGGGTGGGCCAGAAAAGAGATTCAAAATACTACAAATTCAAACCACTTCACCTGTCCCTCCAGTCCTCCAGGTCCTTGGTATCTTCAAACCCTGCTATGCCCACGTGTTAATGACCCTCAAATAGAGCTCTTCTCCAAACCACCAAGACCAGAGATATGGCCCTCCAAGCCTAAGCTGGTTCAGAGTTGAAATCAAGGTGAAGGCTTTCCAAATCTCAAAGATCAATGCTCAGTTCTGTGTCAGTTTGCCAGGGCCACTGCTACCAACTGATAACATGCCAAAAGCTATTTCCATGCCTACTTCCCATTGGTTTCTGGCAACCTGCTTTCATTCTGATTGGCTACATACATTATCCTCACCCCCAATCAAGAAGAAGCCAAGTGATCTAGTTCCAAGGAAGCTTGCATTTCTTAATGTTCAAGCTGTGTATACACCCAAAACTGTTTTAACTGATTTTCTTTGCTTGACATAATAACTGAAATGATCAAAGATATCTGCTTCTATATATTTTGTAATACACATACATGCTGTTTTTCTCATGCCAATCCTAACTGGTTCAGCCCTAACCCTCTTCAACACTGTCCTATCCCCTCCTCTCTCTTTCTCAGTCATGCTTTTCCATTTTCTTTTTCTCTCTCTCCTTCCTCTTCAATGTTTCTACTCCTGTTTTCCTCCCTAACTCCTATTAGTCACTGGGTTTTGGTCCTTAATTGGAAGAAACAATGTTACCTATTCTTCATGAAAGGACAAATACATCCCAAACTCTGTGATGCCTAATTTGTATTTTTTGTCTCAAACCTAAACACTAAAAACAAATACAGTATAAATACTAAACAAAGGAATAAGCATGAATTGGTACATTACTTTCAAGGAAGAGAGATTTTGTGACACACTCATCAAGGAGGCTCTACATTGTCTTCCCCAGGGCACCAAGAAGCACATCACAGCAGGAAGACTACTAAATCTAGCATCAGTCTTCTTCCTCACTATGTACAAGGAACCTTTGACAAATGAAAGCCTCAGTGCCTACTTGAGACTAAGCTGTGTTTCCATCAATCGCTCTATGTCTGCCCCAACTGTAATAACCACCTTTGGCACCCACACACCACCCCCTAAAATATTCTTTACAACTTTTTGTTTCTGTATAGACTGGTATGGCTGGTAAGACACTAGGCCCAATCCTACCACAAATTCCAGGGATCATGTAAAAAAACAAAAGTTATCTTATTCACAGGGTCTCTCCTGAGAAGCAGACTCGTACTCTTTCCCATCCTGACTTCACTTAACTCACCTAATTACCATGTTCACTGTCCTTTCTCCCATTTTCATCTCCACATTATCTATATTGGTGGTCATGTTTATTTCTCTTAACATTAACTTTGACCCTCTCCTCAGCTACTGCCTCAGATCATTTTGAGTAACACCCGTCCAGGTTCTCTTCTAGCTCCTATCCTACTTCTGTCCCCTGGGGCTCACTTGGTTTACCTAAGCCCTACAGGTAAACTCCTGCGGTTTGAATTTAAGTTTTAAAATTCAGATTCGCCATGGCTTTTCAAAAAATCCTCATACTTTAGGAAAATGTGGACAAAATTCATAGAGTCAGCTCTTGCTTACATATGGTTCTGAAAGCTAGAGATAGCACATAACTAAAATACATAGGTGATCAAATTTCTCTACATTAAACCCTTTCCCATAGGGCTTTTACAAAAAGCAACAGTAAATTTATATTTCACCATTTTTTGTAAAGTAAGCTGAAGTACAGTTTAGGAGATCTGGGGAGTTGAGGGCTGAGGGGCTGCCCCGTGTGTTCCCCCACTATCCCATCTTCTGACAGTAGACGACGATACTATTGACTGAGATCGGCACATAACATAGGTGGCATCCCCCAACATTACAATCGGTTCAGGGGTGAGCATGGGACTCAGACAAGTCCAATCAGGTGGCTCTCTAGGTTAGCATACACCATTATTGGGAGACAGCTGCTCTCTTTCCATTTGGGTTTAGCTGTGATGATGACTGCCCAAAGCAACTGGAGGCCATCTTCCCAGCTCCTTGGAGAAAGCCCATCTAAAGTCTGAAAGGTTTTATGAGGCACCACCTTAGGTATTTCTGAGGTCTTAACAATTGACCTTCCAATCCCACCCTGGATTTTTATCTTTTCCCAGAAGCCATGTCTTAGTTTGAGAACTTTTTGCCGTCTAGAGAGGATAGGAATGAGAAGCAGTATTATTTTCAAAGCCAGTAAGTACTGGCTCTTTTATTCTTCTTTTAAATTTTATTTGAAAGCTAAAATATTCCTTTTCAGCTTATCTCTCTCCTCTAACATTTTAGTAGAAGAAGCCAGGTGGCACTTGCACACTCTGTCTAGAAATATCCTTAGCAGTTTCACTGAGTTCATTATATAGACAACAGTGTGGCCAAACTTACCACCATCTTCTGGCAAAGGCCCTTTTCTCCAGTTTCCAATAACATTTTCCTCTCTTTCCTATAAACTCCCACCAACAGTCTTTTAGAGTCCCCTGTGGTTTCTGCTAATACTCTACCCGAGGGCCTGTGGGCTTTCACTCACACTCTCCTCTGGGCCTCTCTGGCCTCTGACTACCATTCAGTACCAAAGACAATGTCAAATATTTTGGGTTTTGTTATGTCAATTTCTCACCTCAAGGTTCCAAAATTTGTATGTTATATACTACTAGGTAACAAACAAACACAAAACTCAGTAGCTTAAAACAACAACAATCATTTATTTGGCTCACAAATCTGCAATTTTGGCAGGGCTTAGCAGAGAAGGCTTGTCTCCACTCCATACAGCATCAGCTAGGGTGACTTGAATGGAGGATCCACTTCCAGCATGGCTCACTCCTACGGCTGGCAAGTTGGGAATGACTGCTGGCTGGAGCTCAGCAGGGCTGAGGACTGGGTCCTCAGTTCCCTTCCATGTGGCTTTCTCCACATGCTGGTTTTCAAGAAGCAAACATCTCAAAAGAGAGCACCTTTCCTAATAAGGCAGAGGCCACATCATCTTTAAGATCTAGCCTTGGAAATCACATGGAATCACTTCCACTGTAGTGACAGGCCTGCCCAGATTCAAGAGGAGAGAGTAGAGACCCAGCTCTCTATGTGAGGAATGTCATGACCACATTGTAAGAAGAGCATGTGGGGTGGGAGATATGGCCATCTTGGAAAATACAATCTACCATATATAAGATAGAACAGTGGAGTGACCATCAGTCCTTTACGTCAACCTAAATAGCAATCTACCTGCTTTAGCTTAAGAAGTTCTCAAAGGCTGGACCATAGGCCAATTCTGATTCATGACAAAAGTTCCATCATACATGGCAAAATGAGAAAAATAAATATAACATAAAGATCTATAATAAAGGTTAATTTACTCAACTTAAAGGATAGAGCCTTACACTGAGATTCTATCATCCCTTCTTTTCTGGTGTTAAAATATCTTCTATTAAATGATAGTGATAGCAGATAGTAGCTGTTTTCTTAATGATGTCATATATTAATCTCCTCCCTTTATTTTTCCATATTTTTCTGGCCAATGAAATACAAAATCTATAGAACCACTGTCTAAAAGTTATCATAATATTGAATTTAGCCTTTGATTGACTATTATTGATTCCCAAATAATGCAGAGGCCTTCTTGATTTACTAGTATGCACTTTGGCATGGTAATTACTCTGTGGATGTTTTAAAAAAGCCACACAGCTACCTGTGTAACAGCTCAAACTCAAAGCAAAAAGACATTTTAACTTTCCAATGAATATATATATAATTCAATCCAAAATAGGTAACAATGCACACTACCTCTCAAAATAGACTAAAGTTATAGATCTATAGATATAAATAAATGTTCAGATCCTCACGTCAAAGGGATCTTTGAAGTGAGCTCCAGGAATCCATTGGTAATCACTTGATTCGCATGCCTGAAAAGTAACATGACATTCAAGATGAAGGCTCAGAAAATAGCTGAGAGGAGAAACTAGACATAGAGTCACAATGTTGGCAGTGTATCTGGCTTGTCTGCTGGAGGAGTAGGTGTCGAAATGTGGTAAGATATGGAGATAAGGTTTGGGAGTCATTTTTATAAAGGTGAACAAGCTCTACAAATGAATGAAGAGGTAATGAGTTCTATGCATAAGATAGTACTAAAAGAGAATTCATTCAACTATTATTTATTAAATCACTACTAATATCTATCAACTCTTTAGGTATAAGGATGAACAAAGACAAAGTCTCTACCCTCAAAAACCTCACAATTCACGTGGAGAGACAAACACGTGGACAATTAGGCAGAATACAGTATGAGTGTACTAGCACTACCGGAGCCCTAAAGAGGGAAGGGTTAGTTCTTCATAATACTGGGGATAGGGAAGATCATGGGGTGCTTCACCAAGGGTCAGAATTGCATTTTGAGAAGTTCCCACAGCTAGGAGCATGATGAAGAAAAGGAGTTTGTGAAGAAAAGCAGTTTAAGAAAGTATAGGAATCATGATTGGCATAAAGGTACCAATACAAATAGTTTAAAAAATGTAAAATCAGCAAATGTATCAAAAGCTACAAAAAGTTTGAGGATAAGTATAAAGAAGAAAAGAGAGGTTCATGCTATACTAGGAGTCTCCAGAAAAGCCTTAATCTTATTTAGGAATCTTTGAAGTGAGATCCAGGAATCCCTCCCTACTCAGGAACACATGCCTGGAAAGTAATGTTTTCAAGATCAAGGCTCAGATGCAGAGTTAGAGCAGAAACAACAGAAATGGCACCTAGCCTTTTTCTAGATTACTGCAGTGCTTTGAGGACACTGGACTTCTCACAATACACTGTATTACAAACAGAGATCTCCCTCTGCATATAAAGACCCTCCATAAACAACCACTTGGTATAACAGAGACAGGGTGAGGGTTATTGCACTGTTCTTTGCTTAAGAAAACTGAAACTGAATTCTCATACATTAAAAATATCTCTAAACTTAAACATTTGAGAGACATTTAAAACATGATTATCTCAAAACCTTGGCTGAGAAAATGTCAACTGACAAGGTATGACTGAATCGCTCATTTCTCTTCCATCCCCTCATAAGGAAAAACTAGTTTTCCAGGCAGGACAAAGAAGAGAAAGTCATAAGAACAAAGAAGAAATGCTTTTTTAAAAATGTTTTCTTTTCTATAAAACTTTTCTGTAAAGTCATAAAGTAACTGAAGGCTCAGGGGTTTGATTAATAAACTAGAAAAAAGGACTTTCCAAACCACCAACATGCAACCAACTATGACATTTCAAACCTAGGAAATATAAAACAGAACAGGAGGAAAAATGGCACATAATCCAATCACAATATCTATGTTTTCATACCTATGGAACAGGAAAAATCTTCTAAATATGAGTATTAAATGATACAGACCTATGTTTATCAATTTAAAGATAGAGGTTAAAAATAAAAAGGTGATTTGCTCAGATATATTCCACCTTACAGGTGAATTTTAATTTGGATATAAAAAGTAATAGTTATAACCAGAAGCCCCTGATTCAACAATTCTTATTATTTCTTTGCTCCAGAATATCATTCCATAAGACTTCCTTTTTAGAGAAGGAGAACAAACCTTTCCTCTGGAAATAGCCACATATGCCTTCTTTTATGGACAGTCTCAGTTACACAGAAAATTACTAGACTCTCTAGGTAGTTTTAAAACCTCCATATAGTCCCTGTGAGTGATTTATACCCAAGTGCTTTCCTGAAGGAACACATGCAACTCACACGGGGCTGTGCCTGGAGGAGGTGGGGCAAGGCCAGACAGTCTGAACACAGGCATGCTGAACAGGCCAAACAAAACAAGGGTGATGCACTGTTGTACTTAAACATTTTTATAAAACCCCACATCTATTTTCTTGACTTTAATTGGCATGGTAAGTTTGTCTTTTCAGATACTAGAAGAAAATGTGGCCTTTTACAAAATATATGTTCAGTAGAAGGTATACTCTTGACTTCTCTTCTGACCATGGCTTAGATTACAGATTTGGCACTTTTCACTTGACCTGAAAGGAAGCAGATTTTAAAATTACATTTAATTAGCTTGTGATATTAAACAAAGCCAGTTTTTAAAAACAATGGTCATGGAATAAATCCCAGTATATCCCCACCGGAACCAGCCATTAATTAAACCCTATGTTGTTGGTATACCAATTCAAACATTCTTTCCTCCTTTATTTTTAATATTTAAAGCCATAAGGTCACATTTCTCATATAGTCAGCTTATTGTTACCAGTTCTGCCACTGACTAAAGGAACTTTGAATAAACTGCTGAAACTCTCTTGTCTTCACTTTCTTCATTGTAAAAGGAGGGGTCATTTTAGAGGCTCCATCAAGAGCTAATATTAATATTCTATGATATGGAGGTGCTTAGAAAGGATGTAATATAGACAACTAGAGGAGAGAATCAATTCTTCTTCAGAGGTAAGAAAGGAGGGAGAGTTGTTGGGCAAGGCTGATGGTAGTGGTGAAGCAAGTAGGAATCAAACTGGATAACCAATGATTCAGGTCTTAATCATCTACCTTCTGGACCACTGTACTTACTTTCTCTAGTCTCTTCTTCCAATCCATTTTACAAAGAAAGCCTGATTATTCTCCCCTACTTAATCCCTCTTCTCTCCTACCTAAAGACTGTTAATGGCATCCCACTGCCCACAAAATAAAGCCCAATCTCCTAAGCTTACAATTCAGTAGTTTTTATAAAATGACCACACCTTCATTTTTGTAACTTTATTTTCTACTGTTTCTTAACACAGACTCAACTACAATCAGTCAGATGGGTATTGGCCACTTCCTTACTCTCATATTTAAACCTTTCATCATCATATTATACTTTCATTCTGGAATTTTCTTCATATTCCACCCTGGCTACCCACCCTTTCATGCCAATCCTTCTTTCTTCATGATGCTTTCTCTTTATACTTAAGCGTCTAGGAATATATATGGCACTTAGGTTACCTTTTCAGGTATGTATGTCTTACTCATAAACTAGGTGATAGGCTCCCTAAAAACAGGGACAGTCTAAAGCCTCTGTCTCCCTTTAGGGCACCCAAGAGAGTGTTATATACATGCTCAATAAATATTAGTTATAGATGGCAAGGGATATTCTGTCACACTACCTAGACTAGATTACTTAACCTTTTAAAATCCACAACCCTTTTTGATAAACATAAAAATCTTAGGTACAGGATATACACATGCAAAAGAATGAACCTGGATCCCTATCTCACACCATACACAAAAAATAACTCAAAATGGATCACAGAACTAAATGTTAGAGCTAAAATTACAAAACTCTTAGAAGAAAACATAGAATTAAATCTTGATGATCTCAAATTAGGCAATTATTTTGTATTTCAAAAGACATAATTAAGAAAATGAAAAGGCAATCCACAGAATGGGATGAAATATTAGAAACATTTTTCTGATAAGGGACTTATATCCAGAATACATAAAGAACTCACACAACTAAACAATAAAAAGGCAACCCAATTTAAAAATGGACGAAAAAGTCAAATAGACATTTCTTCAGAGAAAACATACAAATGGCCAATAAACACATGAAATATGCTTAAAATTATTAGTAATTAGGAAAACAAAACTTGGAACTACATTAACATACCACTTCACACCCACTAAGATGGTTAAAATTTTTTAAAAAGACAGTGACAAACAAACATTTGACAAAAATATGGAGAAACTGGAATCCTCATATACTGCTGGTAGGAATGGAAAATATCCCATAAATATGTACAATTATTATGTGCCAATTAGAAACAAAATTAAAAAACATAAAAAAAGAAAATAGAAAACAGTTTGGCAGTTCCTCAAAAGGTTTGCCGGAGTTACCATATAACTCAGTAATATACCAAAGAAAAATGAAAATATGGCACATAAAAATTTGTACACAACAGTTCACTGCAGCATTATTTATAACAGCCAAAAGAGTGGAATTCCAAATGTCCATCAACTGATGGATGAATTAAATTTGTATCCATACAATGGAATATTGTTCAGCCATAAAACAGAATGAAGTGCTGATGCATGTTATGACATGGATAAACCTTGAAAACATTATGCTAAATGAGAGAAGCCAACCACAAAAGGCAACATATATTGTATGATTTTATTTACTAAATGTTCAGAACAGGCAAATCTATAGAGACAGAAAATAGATTAGAGGTTGCCAGGGACTAGAGGAGGGAGGAATGGGGAGTGATTGCTAATAGGTAGAATTTCTTTTTGGGGTGGTAAAATGTCCCTAAAATTAGATAATGTTGATAATTACACAACATTGTGAATACACTGAATACTACTGAATTGTGCCTTTTAAAATGGTGAATTTTATGATATGAGAATTATTTCTCAATAAAGGTGTTATTTCAAAAAGCTTAGGTATGCCTGTCACAAAAATTCTGACACACACACCTTCCCCATTCTCAGGATGGCATTCCCACAGTAGGTCTTTTCCCAAAATATACAATTATAATACTGAAAGTGCTTTTTCAAATTCTGCCACCCTATTTCCCAGGAGAACATGCCTTCCTAGATAACAATTCTTGGTTAAAATCAAAGGCAGGCTGAGCACGGTGGCTCATGCCTGTAATCCTAGCACTCTGGGAGGCCAAGGCAGACAGATTGCTCAAGGTCAGGAGTTTGAAACCAGCCTGAGCAGGAGCGAGACCCCATCTCTACTAAAAATAGAAATTAATTGGCCAACTAAAAATATATAGAAAAAATAGCGAGTATGATGGCACATGCCTGTAGTCGCAGGACTCGGGAGGCTGAGACAAAAGGATTGCTAGAGCCCAGGAGTTTGAGGTTGCTGTGAGCTAGGCTGACGCCAAGGCACTCGAGCCTGGGCAAGAGTGAAACTCTGTCTCAAAAAAAAAAAAAAAAAAAAATCAAAGGCAAAGGCACAGTAATTACATAAAATTTAATGACTGATGGTGGTAATATTAAAGTCAATATCAGGCATTCCCTATAAAAAGAATTCAGTTATTATTATTAGTTAACACTAATATTGAAACTAATAATGAGACTAGGGAACTATATCACCGATTAGTGCTTACAAGAGGTTAATGACTATTAGTGAAGATTGCCAAAATCAGAATATCGCAGAAAAAACAACATTGAACCTAATTTTCATCTTTTCTGATTTCAAACCACCTTTTAACCAAAACTTACGTGGTGTAGTCATTTTTATGAGAATAGGAGTCACAATATCTTCCAATAGTTGTTTCTGCTCAAAAATGTCATTAATGGAAGCTTCTGTATGGGATTCCAACCACTCATTTTTTGCACGGCATGCATTGAGAACAGTGTTCTAGGGACAGAAATAGAAAATTTACTATTTATTTATTGAAAAATAAAACTTACCAGCATTGCCCAATAGAACTTTCCATGATGATTAAAATGTTCTAAATCTAAAAAAAAAAAAATGTTCTAAATCTGCATTGTCCAATATAGTAGTCATTAGATACATACAGCTATTGGGCACTAGAAAAGTAGCTAGTGTAAGTAACTGAATTTTAAATTTTATTTAATTTCAAATAATTCAAATTTAAATAGCCATATGTGGCTAGTGGCTACTATACTGGACAGTGCTGCTCTAACATTGGTGGAATGTGAGTATAATAAAACTCACCATCAGGAGTCATGAAGCTCCCTAATTCTTCATTTTCATTGAATTCGGTGACTAAAATCAGTGCTTGCAAAGGCTAGAAAAGAATAGGTACATGCAACTCAAAAGACAATGCTGATAGCTGATTCCCTCTCAAATGGTTCACAAAAGGAGGAAGTCAAGAAATGCAAGAAAATCTCCACCTTGCTGAAAATTTCTCAGTTTGCATTGTAAAACTATCTCATTGCACATGTGTGACAAACTTCTGATGTTTGATTTAAGATATTTACTGCTTTAAGACTATGGTTTGTCATAACAAAGAGAAATAAATATTACAGCATAGTTTACTGAAAAAAAGAAAAAAAAAAGAGAAATAAATAAATTTGTGGTATGTCTTATCCATACTACTAAATAATAAGCAGCAGCATATGCAGAAGAATGTAGAAGGAAGTGGGTTTGGAAAGGTGTTCATAACAGTATTAAGAGTGAGAAAAAATAAAGAATAATATGTATAGTATGACCCCATTTTTACAAAAACAAAATCTCTCATAAAATTCCAAATATATTTATGTATGCATGTGAACATATAAGTGAAGGAAAAAACATGGTACAGTTATCACAAAATTATTATCAGAACCACAGGATAATAAGACTGGAGATGGAAAAGGGAAAACTATTAAGCTAGCTTTAGACATTTCAAATTTTTCCTAGCTATTACTATGTGTACACAATACTTTCTAGTTCTAATAACTAAAATTTTAAAAGTTGAAATTAAAAGACTTCTAGCAACTAGTTTGATAGAGTACTATTTCTTTGTGCCAGGAAAATTTTGTCATACAGAACTAATAACTTCAGTAGCATTTCTAATAGAATTTTGCCTCTATTTTGTTTGTTTCACAAGAGATTCTGTACAGTATTTTGCAAGACACAAGTGCAATGTGTAACTTATCAAGTTGTCAGACTTGGTGATGTCTTACAATTTTACCAATACCCAATTCTTTTTCATTTAAATTATAAGTTATAAGACATTCACAGAGCATCCTATACAGAAATGTATGAAGTAATTTAAAACCAAAACACATTTCTAATACCTTGAGTATTTTTTAATGTACATTCAAAACAATAAACTTGTCCAGAGGCAGTACTTAGATACAGTGCTTGGATATGTGGCAAGCTGGCTTTTCAATTAGCTATCTTTATATCTGTGTATCTTTTTTTCCATTCTGGAAAATTTGATACATCAAAAAAATATATATGTACTAAAATATATAATGTATATCTAAGTTTTGAAGCAAAATAATGAAATGGATATCAGTGGACCCCAGTACTCAACAGAAGAACCTGAACACTACCAGTACTACTAACAGAACTTCTGTGTTCCTCCCCTATCCCATCCCCCTGCTTGACTCCAAGAGATAACTATGATCTGTGCTTATTCCTTTGCTTTGCTTTTCAAATAGTTTTACCCCCTATGTAGGTATCCCTAAACAATAGTTTGATTTTGCTTGTTTTTGAGCTTTATAAAAATATATGTAGTCTTTGATGATTTTTTTCACACAATACTTCATTTCTAAGATTCATCCATGTTGTTGGATATGATACTTAGTACATCTCGGTGATACTCTTAAATATTATTTCATTTAATTTTGATCAGTCTATTCTTTATCAGTTGTTCATAAAGAAAGGAAGGGAGGGAGGGAGGAAGAAGAGGAGAAGTAAGGACCACCACCTACCTCTAGAGCAATAGTGTAGAAACTAAAATGTAAGATAAAATTCTCAGAAGACTTCAGAACAAACAATAATCACAAATACACTACCTTGTCTTCCTTAAGGAGCTTCCCTGGTGCCTTTTCTGTGTCAGTAATGGCTAAAGAGACCTTTGTGATATATTTTTTCAGAGCCAGCCTTGCATCTGAAAGAATGGACAGTATATCACATAATTATAAGACAAAAACCAAAAAATATGCTCAACTGTTTGTAATATACTATTATATATTCAGAGCTTTATAAAGACTGTGTGTAGGAGATTTGTTGTGGTTGCTTTCATTGAATTTCAGATAGATAACACTGAACTAGCACATCGCTTTGGGGCATTCAGTATGCTCCTAAAATTGTGCTAAAACTTTCTGAAGAACAAATAAAATATAAAAGATGACACCTGATCCCAAAGAGACTTTATTTTATTAAAATGTCTACTCTGGAGAAAGGAACAACAAAAGACATTTTTCAACAGACAAACTATCACTTGCTTTACTCTTCCTGATCCTCCAAAAAAATTCAAAAATAGCTTTCCCTTTTTTAAAAAAAAGTGTTTAAAATAATTCCATTCATTATAGGATACATAGTAATATTATCATAAAATTTACAAAACCTGTTTAAATAAAATTGTAGCACTTTTCTGAGAGAAATATAATCAAAGAGTCAAATAAGTAGAAGGGCTTACTGTATTCCTAGATAGGCCAGTCGAACATTGTAAATTATAGGTTTGTCCCAAATTAATTTAAAGGTCAATGTATTGACTGCTGTGTCACATTGCCACAAATTTCATGGCTTAAAACAAATTATCACAAATTTATCCTCTTACAGTTCTAGGGGCCACATGTCTGAAATTGGTTTCACTGAGCTAAAGTCAAGGTATTGGCAGGGCTGATTCCTTCTGGAGTCTCTGAGGGGAGAATCTGTTTGTTCCTTGCCTTTTTCAATTTGTAGGGGCTTCAATTTCTAATATTCTTTGGTATGTGGTCCCTTCCTCCATCTTCAAATATGCCATTCCAATCTCTGCTTCCATCATCAAATCACCTTCTCCTCTTCTGTGTCAAATCTCCCTCTGCCTCCCACTTAAAAGGACATTTGTTATTACATAGGTTCCACCTGGATAATCCAGGATAATCTCCCCAACACAAGATCCTTAATTTAAGAATCTGCAAAGTCCCTTTTGTCATATGAGGTAACATTCCCAGGTTCCAAGGATTAGGACCTAGATATCTTTAACAGCAATTATTCAGCCTACTAAAATCTGCCCTCTGCATCCCCCCCCAAAAAAATTTCACATCTATCCCACAAGCAAAATATATTCACCCCATCCCCAAATCCCCAAAAGTCTGGGCCCATTACAATATCAACTTATGTCCAAATTCTCATCTAAAGATCATAACTCAAAAGTCTCAAATCTCATAGTCTAAATCATCGAAACAAGGTATGGGTGAGACTCTGAGTATGATCCTTCCTGGGACAAAATTCCTCTCCATCTGTAGACCTGTGAAACTAGAAAACAAGTTATCTCCTTCCAAAATACAATGATGGGACAGGCATAGAATAACAGTTACAGACATTGTCATTCAAATGGGAAGAAGAAGAAAAGGAAGGAATGAGGAAGATAGGGAGAAAGGGAGGAAGAGAGGGAGGAAAGGAAAGAGTCACTAGTTTCAAGAAATTTTGAAATCCAGCAGAGCAAATTCCACTCAGTTTCAAGGCCTGAGAATAATCCTCTGTGGTTTGAGACTCTGTCCTCTAGTCCTGAGGCTTTGCCCTCTGGATCTGAGGTTCCATCCTCTTAATTCATCCTTCCTTTCTCATGAAAGGTATCATGTGTTTGTAGAATTTTGGCAGTCCAGCATCCTTTTTCATTTTGTCCTCTCTCTGTCCCTTTGTCTGAGCTGGCATTTCTGCTGGTACACCATTCTCAAAACCTGTGAGTCTCCCTGCATGTCCCAGAGATTGACTCCATTAGACAAGAGGCTTCTGCACAGGTCTTCTGCAGGTAATCTCATTTCTATTCCTGATGTCTGCTGGGATGGCTGGGGGGGGGCTCAATAAGTCACACACATAAGCTCTTCAGCACTGGCAAAAAGCTATCCAGTCACATCCTTGGCTTTCTCTCCAGAACACACTTTATTGACAGTGAATCTCTTCATTGTAGCATCTTTTACGGTCTGGATAGGCTGAGAATATCCCAAATCACCAAGCCCTGTTTCCCTTTTGCTTAACAGTTTTCCCTCAACTTCTCTCTCTCCTCTCGCATTTTACTGTAGGCAGCAAAAGAAACCAGGTCATGCCTGCATCACTTTGCTTGGAAATCTCTTCAGCTAAATATCCAAGTTCATCCTTACAAGTTCTGCTTTCCACATAATGGTAGGACACAATTCAGCTAAGCTTTCTGTCACTATGTAACAAGAATGTCTTACCTCAGTTTCCAGTAATATGTTCCTCATTTCCTTCTGAGCCTTCACCAGCAGCACTTTTGTCATTCATATTTCCACCAACATTTGTATGATAAATTACGTATTCTTTAACACATTATAGGCTTTCTCAACTGAGCTCTTCATTTCCTTCTGAGTCCTTAATGGCAGCATGTTTTTAATGGCCTTATTTTCCCCAACAGAATGTTCAAAGAAATCTAAATTTTTTCTATCACGCACCTCAAAATTCTTCCAGCCATCTACCCTTCATCCAACTCCAGAACCACTTCCACATTTTTAGGTATTTGTTACAGCTGCGACCCAGTTCCAGGTCTGAAAATCTGTATTAGTTTCCTATGTCTGTTGTAACAAATTACTGCAAACTTGGTAGCTTAAAACAATTTATTCTTTTACAGTTTTGGAGGCCAGAAGTTCTAAATCAGTTTCACTGGACTAAAGTCAAGGAGTTGTCAGGGATGATTCCTTCTGGAGGTTATGAGGGGAAAATCTGTTCCTCGCCTTTTTCAGCTTCTAGTCATTGCCTGTATTCCTTGGCTTGTACTCCCCCGCCCCCCCCCCATATCTTCAAAGCACATCACCTTCCCCTTTTTTGTGTCGAATATCCCTCTACTTTTCTCTTATAAAAACAGGTGTGATTATAAGAGAAAATTTATATTTAATGTAATGATTACAAATGATTATATTTAGGACCCACCTGGATAATCAAGGATCATCTGCCCATCTCAAGATCATAAACTTACTATCTGCAAAGTCCTTTTTGCCATATAACATTCAAATGCTTCAGCAATTTTGACCTGGATATCTTTGGGGATATAGTCCAGCCTGCCACAGTTGGTGTACACACTCTCATGAAACTCCCAACAGGAATAGTTGAGAGACTTGATGAAATCACTAAAATTCAACTGTGCTATCTCTAGAACCTAACAACCTCTTTCAGCCTCATCTGCTTTTCTGTAAAGTAGACATAATAAAAGTAACTTACATAGTTGAATTCAGACCCATATCTGAAATAGTATTAATGATTATGAACCAGCTAACTGGTCTTCTTGCTTCCAACTCTTTCACAGCTTTAAACCCATCATTCGCATTGCAAGCAGAATTAATTTCCTAAACTGGAATCCAAGGTTTAGGTTTTGGCTACAATAGTTGGGTGACCTAGAATCATAGGTGGTTCCAGAATGTGAATACAGGATGGAGTTTAGGGGAGAAATTAGTTGGAAAAGGGGACTAAGGGACTTGTCATGAAACTGCATTTGCATAACAAGCACACTTTTTTACTGAGAGCACATATTTATTTTGGGTGACTTAGTGGAGAAAGGAGCTTATTGAAAGCATTTCCTTAATGCCACCATATCTTAACCACTCTAACCTTAATTTCTTATCTATAAAATTGAAGCATTATAGTACAGTCTTCATAAGAGTGTTGTGAGGATTACGGTGTATAGTATACAGTTTAATGCATAATGTAATATAATGTAGTATATAGTATATACTATATAGAGTAATACATATGATATAATGCAAAGTGTAGTATAACACATGCAAATATCTTGGCACAGTGCCTGGAACATAGTAAAGCACTGAATAAATTTATGTCACTCCTCAAAACTCTATAAATCACTTCCTACTGCCTACTGAATAAAATACAGATCCCTCCAAGATCTGTCTAGCTATAAGCTATGTTTCCAGCTTCACCCCCTCCAACATTCGTTCAAGACTCTATCTATTCTTCACCTCCTCTTCCTTCTGCCCCCAGATATTGACATGGCTCCCTCCTTCAGTGCTTGCAGGTCTCTGCTCAAGCATCACCTTATCAGAGAGCCCTCTCCTAATTTCCCTCTATAAAGTAACACACACACTTATTCACTTGCTGGCAACATCCTAAACCCCTTACCACTCTATTTTTCTCCATATCGCTCCACAGATTATATATATATATATATATATTTAGATAGATACAATTATTTTCTGTGTCCCCCTACTAGAAAGTAAGCTCCATGAAGGTATTCTGTTTTGTGATGAATTGTAAATGTATTCTCAGCTTCGGAACAATATTTAGAACATAATAGGCACTCAATATGTAGCTGTTGTATGAAGGTTAACACATACCTTCTTTGCTTATTATGTTTCCTCAATCTTAGATGCCCTCTCCACGTTGCCACCTACCAAAATTCTACTCATTCTTCAAGGCCCAATCAAATATACTTCTTCTGTGAAACATCCTAATTCCTCCAGGTAGAACTCATTGCTCTCTCAACTGTTTATCTTATAATTTTTATTATCTTGGTTTTTGCTTTTACCTCTAGATTGTAAGCTCCTTGAAGACAGGGCCTATGTTCTATCTTTTTATCATACAGCATGACACCTCACCATCTTATCTTTTTCATATATCTTGCCACCTTCCTCACCCCTCACCCACTCTCTGATAGCACCACATCGCCACCAAAGGAACCTATGTTAAAAGGGATAAGCACTCAATATTTGCTGAACTATTTGAGGAGAAGAACATTCCAAAACAAGAAAATACCAGTTGATGCTAGATTGTGTGAAATGGTATAGCTATTTATTGAGTAGATGTAAAACTGCCATACTTCAGAAGAAGAGTTAGTGAGGTAGTGAGTAAATTGTTTCTACGTAATTCTATTAATATGATTACAGTTGAATTTATTAGCTAGCAAAACATTAGTAAAGTATTCATTTTGAAGAAAATTGAAGAAGCTCATGCCACTCTGGCAAAAAGCAATAAAAAGTATCTCTGAGAAACCCAAGGTGATTGGTTAAGTGACACCTTTTAGTTCCAATGTGGTTCTTTATGATGTCACTGAACTTATTCCTGAATCACTATGACTGATGATGTTACAATTGTCATTAGTGTATATTTTCCTGGGTATATTTTGCTGACTGGCAAGATTATCTGAAATGCCTTGACTGAAGCACCATATTAACTAACAACTCAGGGCACTTTCTTCTCTGTCTCTGATCAATTTTTTAGCTAGAGATATTTTTTCCCAGTTGAGAAAGATGTCTAGTCAAGGACTGTTCCTGATTTTTTCTCTGTTGTTTATCTGCTTCTTCAGGGAGAGCCTCTGCATTTGTGATGGAACAACCTGGACAAAGGTTGGATGGGAGATTTTTCCAGAAGAAGTACACTATCTGAAAGTTAAACTTTCTCCATCTCACTGTCTCCCTTACCCTCTGGACAAGCTATGCTGCAACTTTGCTAATATGGACATATTTCAGGGGTTTTTACATCTCATTTATATTTTAGTACAAGCTCTCTCTTTAATCCTATCTGTTTTGTCTGTGCATTACCTGTGGATGAAATGGAAGAAACATCAAAAAAAGGTAAATTAGTGATGCAAATAATAACAGTTAAAAAATCTCAAAGAGTTTAGAACATAAGATAATCAGTCTCTTTAAGGGAAGGTACTATGTTTTATTCCTCTTTGTAACTTTCCCCTGTTCCCCATTCATCCCCAGCATCTAACACAGTGTCTTGCACATACTAGGTGCTCAATAATTGTGTATTGAATTAGAAGATCTTTATAATTATCTGGTCCAACCTGTAAAATATTATGGTATTTTTTAAAAAATCATCTAGTCCAATGCCTCTATTTCAAGTTACAAAACACTTTTAAAAAGTAGTGTGCTTCCTCTTGTATATTCCTGGATAGAGCTGGAACCCATTCTACTATGTGAAGTATCTCAAGAATGGAAAAACCAGCACCACATGTACTCACCAGCAAATTGGTATTAACGGATCAACACCTAAGTAGACATATAGAAGTAACTTCTATCAGGTGTCGGGAGGGTGGGAGGGGGGAGGAGAGGATGGGTATATACAACCAAACAAGTAAGATGTGCAACGTTTGGGGGATGGACAGGCTTGAAGCTCTTACTTGAGGGGGGAGAGGGGGATGGGCAATATATATAACCTTAACACTTGTACCCCCATAATACGCTAAAAAATAAAAGTAGTGTGCTTAGTTTGAATGTCATTATATAAAAAAGAAAAAAAAAATAGTAGTGTGCTACCATCAGTAAAATGTATAGGAAATGAGTTTATCTCTCTGTGCTCTTAGTTAAGTCATTTGATCTTTCTCAGCTGCTTCACCCCTAAAATGAAGGATGTGGAACAAGAGATCTCTTAGAACCCTTCCAGGTCTATCTAAGAAAGCTAAGTACAAAAGTTGGCATATATTTTTTAAATGGACTGTAAACTAATTTCTAATGTTAGGATAACTTCCTGGGAAATGGAACTTTTAAACTAATTTCCCACTGTGCCAATAGAGACACCATAGTTTGAGGCAGTCTTAAAAGCTCATTGACCAAACAAAGAAAAAACCTCAATGACCTTCATAACAAGTAGGTATTGTAAAATGTTTTCTTATTTTTTAAATGACTGTGCTTTTATGGTATTACACCATGAGGTTGTTTAGTAAAGGAAAACATTTTGCTAATATTCATATTTCTCCCAGCAGGGTGCTCTAACCATAGAATGCACTAATTATTTGCTGATTGTGATAATGATCTCCCTAATCTTATATGGGGCATATACAGAAGAACATTTCTTCTGCATTTATACCTTATTTCTATAGTAATCCTTTTGTATAAATAACTGATGTGTGCTGTTTTAGTAGAGTTTAAATTTATATATTTGGAACACAAATTTAATTTGAACTATAGTAAGATAAAATCTGTATCATTTGTTTTTCTCCTTTTAGCTGAAAAAACAAGTCTCCTTAGATGAGTTTAGTAATGATCTAGAAAGCCCATCCATCTATGACATTGACCAAATACTCTGCAGACTGGTGGCCACAACATCAATGATGACCAAGTACCTGAAACAGGTGTCTCACCATCCTTCTTCTAAGAAAATTAAGCACCGCAAATTAAAGAGGAAGAAGAGTGAAGAAGGAGCCAGAGGATACTAAACATATGCATAAGCAAATGTAGCTCAGTCAAATATAGACATTACAAAAGAAATCTATTGAGAGGACTCATCTAAGGATAAAAATGGTTCACTGGAAGCCTTTGTAATTTTTTTTTTTTTTTTTTTGCCACAATCTTTACTGAAATTTTCCAAAGAAGTCTGGGTTGAAACGTTATTTCTATTCAACTAAAAAAGAATCCATACTTACCAAAGTACTGAGGAAAAGGCTATACACTATCACTGCTATGTGTTTAAGTATTTTGTTCTTTTTAATGTGTTAGATTACTAATCATTAACCAATCTGTAGAATAGAAGGTTAGTTCAGTGTTTCAATAAATCTCTGCTTTAAATAGTATCTGTGAATTTTATTTCCTTAGCAATTTTTATAACCACAGGAAGACTATTAATTTCTCGTCCCAGATTGCTAGAATAGCATGGAAATATTAAGGAATGATTAGTTTTTAAAAGTATAATTTTCCCCATTTTTCAGTGTAATAAATGATAAATTACCTATTTTTTTAATATTTCAGATTTTTTTGATAAGACGCTTCAATTTTTTAAAGTATAGTTACCACATTTTCCAAAGAAAAACTAGAAGACAGGCCTGAGACTAGGACAGAAGATTTGATTAAAAATATCTTGAAAAAGCCCAGAAAAACATGCCATTATCTATAATATACCTGCCATCATTGTAGGGGAGGAAAACAACTTTTACAAACAATCCTTGAAACAGTAATAAATAACTCCCATTCCCACATTACCATAAATGTTTGTTCCATACCTTCAGAGTTCAGAACTGTCAACTAATTCTCTCTAACAGAACACTGATATATTTTTCTTTTAATGGTGGACTCTTGAAGACTTAAGTTCCCAAACCTCTAAAACCCAAAGAAACTAACCTCTAGTAATGGAATTTCCAGTAGTATGAAGGAGACTATCATGGTAAGGAGTCCTCAATCCCTTAAATCTCTCTACGTGACTCCTACTCTAATCACTAAAATGAGAAATGGAAGTGATGTACAATCTCGGTAAGTCTGAATTAAACAAATATTAAAGTTAAATTTTATGTTGAGTAATTTGTTTCCAACATTCCACAGCTATACTACCATAAAGCTCTAATCCTAATAACATCATTGATTTGGAAACACAATTACTAGTTTACTTTTTATAGTCTTCTTTTTAATATCACTAAGACATGTTATGTATAATTTCTCCAAGAACCTAAGTAGAAACACATGAATATTTTGGGAAAGAAAACCACTGAAACCTCACACCCATAAGCCCCAAGCCATTTCTTTTCAGAAAAGTTACAGCAAAATTGGTTCCTAGATTATGATTTTTAAGTACCATGATTCATTCATTCTTCAAAATGGATTATAAATTATGGAATGTGAATTTCACCTACAATTACTATTCATAGGGAATCAATTGAACTCTTTGCTATTGTTGTTTTCTTTTTTCTATAGATGTAATCATAAAATCAAAGAAATTGACATAAGAATGATTGTTCCTAGAAAACATTTAGTACAGTGGACAATTACCTATAAAAATAATCTACAAAGTATAACTCATCTCTTTCTTCTCAAATATGCCTCTTTCCTTTAATTTCCCTATTTCTATCAGTTCTCCTAGTCCCCTTCTCATTTTACTGATAAGCATCTTATTGCTACTAGTGAATCTTCCTAAAAATCACTTGTATCCTCTTCCTCTTCTGCATAAAAACTTTCAGTGGTTCCCAGAATAAAATGAAAACACCTTAGCCTGGCATTTAAAAGTATAATCTGGCTACAATAAAAGAAGCAGCATTTTTCAAATGCTGAGCACATATGCTAAGTGCTTTACAACATCATATTTAATTCCTACAACAACTCTTGAAAGGTAGAAACTATTTTTATTGGCACCCTTTTTCAGAAAAGGAAACTGGGGTATAGAGAATTTAAGTATTTTGCCAAGGTCACATAGGTTTCAAGTGCAGATACTAGTATTTAAATTCAATCTCAAGAGGCCATATACCTAACCCTTTTACTATTCCACCTATATTAAGCCTATATGTGGAAACTATGACTTGTGGTTCAGTAAATCAATCTTGTCACTGCCCCACAATATGCCACTTTCATTCTCAGCTCTAAGATTTTGCTTATGTCCTTTCCCCTTCTATTGTGTATCCAAATTTCATCCATTATTCAAGGCCCAGGTCAAGCCCAACCGACTTCACGTTCTGACTTCATGTTTTCTGACTACCCTGTAGTATGGACTGCCTATTCTGCCAATTTTAGCCCTTAAGTCATAGTCCTTCTGATACTGTTATATAACTGTTAAATGTGTCCATAGCTTATCATCCCCCACCTAACAAATGTCCAGAGGACAGGAATAACCAACTGTACCTATAGAAATAACCATGCTTTTATGGGAAGTCAATAAATGCTCATACGGGTGTTCAATAAATAGCCATGCTCATATGTGAATTCAATAAATGCTCATATGGGTGTTCAATAAATGCTTGCTAAAAACATGAATGCAGACAACCATCCAAAATGAATGCTGTGACTAGTTTTTTAACCAATGTTTGTATACATACATAGTTACACAGGTATGTTGTCCTAAAATCTGTTTAAGCTATATTTTACAGGACTGTGGGAATGATGTAAGCAAAGTATTAGCAAAAGTCAAAACAGCACAGTTTTTTGAACTTTGTATTGAAATATAACATACATACAGAGAAGCACAAAAATTATGTGTACAGCTCAATGAATTTTCACAAATGAACGCACCTATGTAACCAGCAACCAGATCAAGAAAAGGAATATTACCTCCCAGAAGGGCCTCCCATGCCATAAGAGTAACTACTATCCTGACTACTAACACCATAAATTAATTTTGCCTAACAAAATCATTTTTCAATTATTATTATAACCTTTTCTATCTGAGGAATCATATTTTAATTAATATTAATATTAAAATATATAATATAATATTATTTTAATAATATTCACAAACTTAATATTACTCAAATATGCTATTTTAAACATTTAAGGAAAGGTCCACTTTGCCTGGGTCTCTCAAAAAATGGCCTTGAGCATATATTGTACATATATTATTATAGAAAATTATTGGTGAAATTGTTAAAAGTTGGTAAACCAACAATCTTCCAATATGTACAGTTCCTATTAAGTACAATGTTTAAGGCCAATAGTAAAATAGAAAAAAATTGGTAGATTTCATATATCATTGCCAACTGTGATACAACTATTTGTATCTACAAATAAATCATCTTATTGGAAGGTAACACAGCTTATAGCCCACACGAGAAAAATCCATCACATCAGTCAGTTTACTAATAATTAGTGTACTTACCTGCCCAGTCCAGGAACTCAACACACTCAGTCTGGGAATACCGAGCAGCAACATCTCGAGCTCTTTCTTCCCGGAAGTTCAAAGCTTCTATGTCAACATCCAGTTCCACTAGTACTTTCAAAGTTTCCAAACGACCCCAGGCTGCAGCACAGTGTAAGAGTGTATACCCTAATAAACAGAATGAAGATGATCAGATCAAATAGATTACATTGTTTTAGGCTATTTTATGTATGAGAAGATTATAATGGTAATCAAGTATTGAAGAATAACTATGAACCAGGCACTATTCTAAATGCTTTATATATAGTAAACTTATTTAGTTTCATAAAACTACTATGATGTCAGAACTATTATAATCCTCATTTTACAAATCAGGAAACCAAAGTCCAGAGAGGTCAAGAAAATTGACCAAGGAACATAGCCAGTAAATGATGGGAGCAAGATACCAGCACAGACTGAGCTCTTCGACATCTAAGGAAAATAGCAATATCCCTGGCAGTCATCTACTTTGGAACACAACTGGACCTATAACTTTAAGGAATTTTCATCAAACTCTACTTACTCTAGCATTACTGTTAATATAATCATACAAATTAGTACAACTGTTATATACATATATATTCATATATATATACACACACACACACACACACACACACACACATATGTACTTGTGTATATATATTCTCTTTGGAAAGAAATTATGACCTCTCAAATTAGAAAGTTATTTCTTAGACTTTCTGAGGTGATTACCATAAGGTATAATTGTAAAGGTGAAAAATATGGAAGGCATATTTAAAATTTATCCAGATTCATTTTTAAAACATCAGGTCAAAGATCATTGTTTGAACTCACCCATAAGGATCACAAGGATATAAAGGCATACCTCATTTTATTGCACTTTGCTTTATGTGCTTCACAGATACTGTGTTTTTTACAAATTGAAGGTTTGTGGCAACCCTGCACTGAGTACATCTATTAGCACCATTTTTCCAACATCACATGCTCATTTTGTGTCATTGTGTTAGCATTTTTTAGCAATTAAGTATTTTAAAATTAAGGGATGTACACTTTTTAGACATAATGCTATTGTCCACATAACAGACTACAGTGGAGTATAAATGTAAGTTTTATATGCACTGGGAAACCAAAAAATTTGTGTGATTTGCTTTAATGAAATATTCACTATATTGCGATGATCTGGAACTGAACCTGCAATATATCCTGGTATCCTGTATTTAAGACTCCTTTAGGCCAGGCGCGGTGGTTCACACCTGTAATCCTAGCACTCTGGGAGGCTGAGGCGGGTGGATTGCTCGAGGTCAGGAGTTCGAAACCAGCCTGAGCAAGAGCAAGACCTCGTCTCTACTGTAAATAGAAAGAAATTGATTGGCCAACTAATATATATAGAAAAAATTAGCTGGGCATGGTGGCATGTGCCTATAGTCCCAGCTACTTGGGAGGCTGAGGCAGCAGGATTGCTTGAGCCCAGGAGTTTGAGGTTGCTGTGAGCTAGGCTGATGCCACGGCACTCACTCTAGCCTGGGCAACAAAGCGAGACTCTGTCTCAAAAATAAGACTCCTTTAACTGGCCACAGAGGTACATACTATACTACCACAAAAAGAGTTGAGCAAGAAAATGAACTGACACGTGTTGAGTAGGCATTTTGTGTGTACATTAATCCTTCCACTCACCCTATGAGGTAAATTGTATCATCCCCATTAAAGTATACAAGGGGAAGTGAAAGTCAGAGAAGCTATACCTTTCCCAATGCCACACTGGTAGTAAGTCATCAAAGCAAGAGTCAAACCCAGGTCTGTTGCCAGATAGAGGATCTACAAGGAGCAGGAAACACCACCCAAATGTTTGCCTCTAGCTAGAGTAGGGAAACAGAAGAGAGAATAATGATTTTACTTACCTTTCAGAAATCTTTCCTCAGCTCCCTATTTGCCACATCCTACAATCCCGGGCCTATCTTAGACCAAGTTATGAACTATCATAACCAGAAGGGATAATAAAAGGCTAAAAAAGAATCAAAGCTCTAGTCTGGGCAATAGCAACACACCATCTCTACAAAAAAAAAAAAAAAATTAGCCAGGTATGATGGTATACACCATAGTCTCAGCTCAGGCAGGGTGGGAAACCTGAAGCCCTGGGGCCACATATGGCCCTCTGGATGCTTGAGTGTGGCCTTTTGATTGAATCCAAATCCAAGTTTGGATTTGGTTGAGGTGCTGCATTTGGGGATCTGGAGGGCCACATGTGGCCTTGAGGCCACAGGTTCTCCACCTCTAGAGGAGTTTGAGGTTGCAGTGAGCTATGATGATGGCACTGTACTCTGGCCCAGGCAACAGAGCAAGACCCTGTCTCAGAAAAAAAAAAGAATCAAAGGGAACATAAAGTGAACTACTTTAGGATCAGCCAAAATTGGAATTGCCTCCCCTTTTGGACAAACTTTTTTTTACATATCACAACAAGCAAGAAATTGTAACACTAAAAAACAGAGACTGGCCCAGGAATTTTATTATTCCTTTATTCCCTACTGTCTTAGATCATTTGTGCTGCAAATATCACACACTAAGTAATTTATAAAGAACTGAAATTTATTTCTCACAGTTCTAGGGTCTGGGAAGTCTAAGACCGATCAAGGTGCTGGCATCTTGTGTGGGCCTTCTTGCTGCATCCTCACATGGCAGAAGGCAGAAGGGCAAGAGAGGGCAAACCCACTCCCACAAGCCCTTTTTATAGTGGCATTAATCCATTTATGAGAGCAAGCCCTCATGACCTAAACACCTTCCAAAGGGCCCCACCTACCAGGTGTTGCATTGGAGACTATGTTTTAAGCACACAAGTTTGGGGGAACATATTCAGACTATAGTACCTATAAAATGGGAGGCCAAGAAATACTCAAATACCACCCTCTTATTCCTGCCTTCTGCTTGAAGATGGAATTCTTCAATCAACTGAACAGTCCAGGGCCCCTGATTTTCTGGGGGAGGAAGACATTATCTACAGACAAAACACTGCTAGCATGACCAGCAGGCAGGTGTTCTGGATCCTCATATTGCTTTCCTCAAGGCCGAAGTTACAGGCCAATGGTAACCTCTAAATAAAATATTCTTAAATTCATTTAAGACACCGAAGGGAGGTGTGTGTGGGGGGGTGTTTGTTTTTTAATATAATCATTTAAAAATAAAAAGATTTCTAAATAGTATTTTACCAAGGAATTTGCAACTTTCACATGCTTTTTCCCTTGTTGGAGACAGTCCATTTTCTAGTAAGAAATGCACAGCACTTTATAGTACATTAACCCCACCACCTTTCCAAGAGAAGGAAAACATCTAAATGAGATGATTTCAGAAAGCATCCAGACAAGAAGGGGATTTTTCCTAAAGTTCTCCCAAAAGACTGGCAAGGAGCATCAGGTCCCAGGAGAGGGAATCAGAAGGCTGCATGTTGGAAACCCCCACAGGAAGAAAGGGACCATAAACGGAACTGGGAATGATTGAGGTAGCTTCTAAGAGGAAAAAAAAGTTTCTTCATGGAAGATTACTGGTTACTAAATACAGAGTCTATTGAGCAGGTAGTTCATAGCAAGCCTAAAGATTAGACAAGAAGAAAAGAAATCTTTTTGCCTGCACAGGGACTGTGCTGTGTACTTCACAAGTATCAATTCATTTAAACCTCACAGTGATCCTATGGCACAGATACTATTAAGTAGTATTGTTCTCAATTATGTATAAGGAATTGAAGCACAAAGATAAGTACTTTTCTCAAGGTTGTCATTAATAAAAACTAATGAATGTGCCAATGATAAGGTCAAATGCAAGAACTGAAATAGTGATAGGAACAAGTAATAGGCCATGAAGCAAAACACTCACCTATCTAGAACATTTCTCAATCTGCCTACACCAGCAATACCAGACTCCTCAAATTCCCCAAATCATGTTGTTTCATGCCTCCATAACTTTGCATATGCTGTTTTTCTCTGCCTGGAATAGTAATTACAGTAGTGGAATAAAATAATACCAGTTCACATTTTATATTTACTTAGTCTTTATACTGGTATTTTATAAAACTGGGTTTGGAATTCTTTTTTTAATTAGTGAAATTATTTAATACATTTCAAATAAAAATTAAGGATTAAAAAAGCAAACACTTTAAAATAAATAAAACATAATTAATCATAAAAATTGCAAATGAAATATTATCTGATCTCTTTTTTTAATGTGTTAATAGTATTGCCAGGATATTTTTATACAAATTTTTTCAGTTACTGAAGTTTTCCTGATTCAAGTTAATTGGAGGTATAATGAAAAGAAAATATTTTCTTTCAAATTATCCCATCTCTAATTTGAAAAAGAGATATCTCTTTGAATAGAGATAAGAGATATCTCTTTTTGCTTTTTAACTAGATATCTCTTTGAATGGAGAAAGAGATATCTCTTTTTGCTTTTTACCTAGCACAACAGTCTTTTTTTTTTAGAGTAAGCTATACTTTTTCTTCCCACAGAAAACACTGTTGGTTCACATTTGTCTTTTTTAGTTACCACATGAAAAGAAGGAGATTCCACAACAGTTTCCTGACCAATCTCAAACCATAGGGTTCACATTCTACTTGTTTGGGAGGTCTTTGAACTTCAGTATTTTTGTTACAACAGAAATTCTGCAATATCACAATATAGATCATCTAAACTTGTAGACTTCAGTTTGCCTTTTTGTATACATTGAGCAATTAAATCAATGATATTGTTCTCAACCCATAAATGATTAAAATTTCATATTTTTTAGAATATCAAATAATATTATTAAAATAACAGTATTTCAGGCATAAAGTATTTCTGTTACTTAACACAGGGGGTATGGGTCAGTATCCCAGAATATCAGAAACCTATAACAGTAACACCGGACACTGTGATCATCACGCCTGCCATGCCCCACCCGTCAACTCTCCTTCTTTGCTAGGCATTCAAAATTTCAAGACTCAGGACAAATACTGCCCTCCTATGAAACCATCCCTGAGCATGCCCAACATCTCCAGGCAAAGTTGGCTTACCTCTACTCTGAGCTAACACTGTACCTTATCTCACCATATAGTAATTATTTGTTCACACATCTGCTTTCTGCTAAACCACAGACTCCTCAAAGAGAATTGATTTTATCTTTA